CAAAATTAACAATCCGAATAAAATCAAAAGAGCAAATCGCCGTGAAGTGTCAAAGTGACAACATAAAATCTTCTTTTTTCATTGCCGGCCAGGAGCGCGCGGCACGGAGCGCCGCGGGCGGACCAATGAGTCCGGATTGTGGCGTACATAGAACGCCACAAGACTATGTGAGAGAAGTGGGGATTTTGGGACTATACATTCCCAGCGGCCCCTAATTATTTAGTGGGTTAGGGGGACGGTGGGAATAAGTCATTGAGGAAATGAGGAACTCCAAACATTATAAATGTCAGTCCATCGGTTTTTGGAACTAAGTATAGATTTCTTATCATAATAAGGACAAGAAGCAAGCAGCTAGATTGTAGATCCTTCTACATGATTGTCATTGATTTATCGCTAGTTTTCCTCAACCTCATAGGTACAATGATCTGTTTGTTCACACGGTCATACCTACCTAGGTTTAAAGCTCATTTAATATTCCCGCCTACGCCGAATTAGAATGCAATAGGCCTACCTACANGGTCATACCTACCTAGGTTTAAAGCTCATTTAATATTCCCGCCTACGCCGAATTAGAATGCAATAGGCCTACCTACAGTCTAATTTTTTAGAAATCAGCAGAAATGTCATCAAACATGGCCAACTGACATAAAAATATTTTTAGTCTGTGAACTAGTGATGCGACAAAACCTCTCGTTAATCGCGAAGTGAAATTATTGTAGTACTTGCGTATCATCGCCGGGTGATCGTCAAAATAATAAAAATATGCAACAAAGTCGCAACATTGAATGTGAACTGATTATGAAATTTTCGAGAACAGGAAACAAACTGTATGCACAGATGTAATCAAAAAACACACTGTGGACAGTCAAACAATCAATGATATCTGTAAAGTTATTAAACTTCAAATAGGTAGTTGCAAAAAGTTCTGTTTGACAGTGTTGCTACTAGTGACATCTCGCTCGCTCAGTCCCTTGTTGCTCTATTCCGTTAGGAAGGTAATTAATTAATAAGATGCTATCAATTAAAAGAAGATTTTTTTTCTTTTATTAATAAGCAATGGAACAATACGTAAGCATAATAATTGCATAAAAAAGGAAAATAATTTCGTTTAAATAAAACCGACTAAAAATTAAACTGACTTCGAAAAAGTATACACTAAAAGTAGAAAAATAATTTTACGTTACCTCCAATATTGTCGAAGTTATCGCTGGAAAACTTAACAAAGTATCGTATACTTTTTATTTAAAATTAATCAGTAATCGGAATAAGTGAATACTTAAAGAAATATCGATTAAATTTACAGATTATTGTCTATGACTCACAGGTTACAGCACTGATGTGTCAGAGACAAGTCATAGACAATATGGAGATAACACATGATTTTAAACGTCAAGTCAATTTGACAATCTCACAAATTTTCATCGTCCACGTATTTTGCTAAAATAATTTGTTTTAAAGATTGATTTCAAACTTGTATAAACGTGAAAATAAAGTTGGTTTCATGGGCTTGTTAAATAATGTGTATGATATTATGAACACGTAAGTGATTATGGTGTAATTATGTATGAAAGTGTTTGTTTACATCTCTGCTGGATTCTAAAAAATCAAGGTATATCTCAATATCAAACATGTTGACAGGCTTGAGATTACAAGAGCAAGTTTAATCTAACTTTTAATCTTAAACTGCTGTCATTTTACACCGCCTCTGCTTGACTGGTAAAGAATGCCACTCGGTATTAAGTCCGCAAGTGTACGAAAATGCAAAAAAAATTATAAATAAATAAAAAAACTTCCTTCTTGGCAGAATCACCAGCCGTACGAGTTAAAAACAAAAAAAAACAGTTACCTAAAACCTCTTTGGTCAGCCATCTTACAGATTTCGAAATTTTAAAATTGAAAAATTTTTACTCATTTCAGCCTGCTGTCAGAATTCAAAAATTCAAATTTTAAAATTAGAACGCAATTTTCTCGTCTATTTTTAGCACAGATAAGCGCGGAAACGCAGACCTGTGAACAGATTCAGTTACAAAACACAAATCACAGTGAAATATCTCGTTACAAATGTCCTTGGTAAATCGTGATTGTTTTATCGATAATGCACAAAATGAACAGATTAATAACATTAATAAGCCAGTGCGTATTATCGGGTCGTGTGTGCCGATCACGATGAGGATGTTGGATTAGGGCGTAAACACATAGTTTACTTCTTGTTAGCCTAGGCGCAGATTAGGGATGTTGTGGATAATTATGTAGTTTCGGTTATGGATACGGATATTGTTTTATTTCGGATATCCGAAAGTTTCGGTTACGGTTACGGATATTCTGTGCTTTAGAATGCAATTTGCAATAGTTGTCCAATACAGTTCATTAATGGCCGCACACTTTACATCGAATAAATTCGGATTCGGATATTTTTTTCATTTCGGATATCCGAAAGTTTCGGTTACCGTTACGGATATCCATAACATCCCTGGCGCAGACCACCGATTTTCAGTCATCCGATAGTTGGGTCCGACTCTAATTTGTATGAAGAATCAATCAGTGTAATGTGCGCACTTCCATACATGCCCATACTGTAACTGCCCGACTAAACTATCGGCCGACAAAAAATCGGTGGGCGTAGGCTTACATTCGTACATTGCGTCGTCGTCGTCGAACAAAGACGGATCGACTGTACTGCTTTAGAGTATGCGCACACCGTTGATTTTTAGTTGGCCGATAGTTGTGCCCGATTTTAATTTGTATGAAGAATCGGCCAAATCGAATCGGCGTAGTGTGCGCACTCCCATACATGCCCATACTGATCAACTGCCCGACTAAACTATCGGCCGAGGAAAAATCAACGGTGTGCGCCTACTCTTAGATTAATCACATTCGTCGGTGTTTGATTCTGTAGCTTCATAAAAACTCATTTATTTTTGCAAATAGGCTTTTAAAAAGCACTTTTACACGTCCCAATATTAACCCTACCACTGCTTCGGGACAATAAATGGGCCAGTGTTGAGAAGAAGATACTTCTTCGATATGTTTATGAGTTTAAAAAAATAAAAATAATGATAAAAGAGCTACTTTAGAGTAATTTAATGCCCAAAACAGATTAGACGGACATGCGACCTTGTTCGACGACAATTGATTCTAACTAATACAGTGAAAACAGTCTAATATCGAATTGTATAATAATACTTTGATGTATAATAATACTTTGATAACAGGGATTTAGATTAAACGAGTGCTTAAACCACAAAATATAAATTCATTTCAATTTTGTGCTTTAACACTTAAAAATGTAAGTAACTAACTTCTTTTAATCAACTAGGCCCAGTTTTTTGATTCATAGTTAAAATAACAAATTTTTAAATTTTGTTACTAATGGTTAAATATTAACAAATAGTTAAAAAATGTACTAAAATTCAAGCTAACCATTGTTCGAAAAAAAATTTTTTCTGATATTTAACGACTTGTCATTTGACATCTGTCAAATTTGACCATTGGTTAGGTTATTAGTTATTTTAACTATGAAATAAATTAAATAATAAACTGGGCCCTTAGACTTTAATTGACCAATGGAAAAGTCAAGAAAAAATTAATCATTTCCAATCTTTTCTATACAAAGTTTTTTTTTATTCTAGAAAACAACGTAACGAAGGGGCCTAAGTCCTTCTATAGTACAAGTGTCATTATTCCTTTAATTTTATACTTTTTCAACCATGCACACTTAGAAAATCCACCTATAAGATAAGTAAGTAGGTAATACGTCAAACAATACAAATAAATACTCAGTTTTTTTTCCTTCACATGAAACGTAAATTATTAGTAACTCATTATACCACACGTGTTCTACTGAGAATACATAATATAAACACAAATAAAGGTGAAGTATGGGAACATTGCAAAAGGCGTAACGTAAGTTGTTTACGATTCATTAATTCATTTGTGATAATTTATTGTTAAGTAAGCAGGTACTATGGCGCACCATGATTAATTAATAAACAATAGGTACCATATTATTATGTTCAATTTCTAGAATAGGAATAAGTGTGCTTCATCCTTTAAGGACTAAGGTAGCTGTGCCCGCGACTAGGCACACCTGTGAAAATGAGTTTAAATCTTTTTTTCCCGTTTTTGCAACATTTTTCAAAAACAGGAAATATTACCATATCCGAAAACCTTCCTCAATAAATTAATGGACTATCCAACACAAAAATGTTTTTTCAATTCGATGTTCTTATTTTATAAGGTTTTATTTTAATAATTATATTTATTTTTTATTTAGGCTTAGGCCCGATTCGACAAAACTTTTATCCGAGAATAACTCCTGGTATAACTGGCACATTGACCCACATTGACAGTTTCAGTATAGGAAATAAAACTAACAATCGAATCCACCCTTAGTTTAGCTATCTGAACCATTGTTCAACTACCAACTTCAGCTATACCTATGTAAAAATATTAATATTCTTAAATAATAAGTTGATTAGCCTCCAGAAAACCCTAATCTAAATACGTCTTCTGTTTGTTCCAGGATGTCTACCCTGCTGTTCTGGCAGGGCAAGGGCAAAGCGAATGGCGCGCCCAACGGACGAAACTGGATACACGCGCCCGACGCCCTCGTAAAAGGACATGTCGCTTATTTGGTTAAGGTAAAATCAATGTTCAATAGTCAATATTCAATAGCCAATAGTCAATAATCAATAGTCAATAAATCAATGGTCAATAGTCAATATTCAATAGTCAGGCGCTAACGGATGAAACTGGATGGACCGGCGCCCGACGCCCTCGTCAAAAGACACGTCGCTTATTTGGTTAAGGTAAAATCAATGTTCAATAGTCAATATTCAATAATCAATAGTCAATAAATCAATGGTCAATAGTCAGGCGCTAACGGACGCAACTGGATTCACGCGTCCGACGCCCTCGTCAAAGGACACGTCGCTTATTTGGTTAGTAAAATCAATGTTCAATACTCAATCATCGATAGTCAATAAATCAATGGTCAATATTCAATAGTCAGGTGCTAACGGACGTAACTGGATACACGCGCCCGACGCCTTCGTCAAAGGACACGTCGCTTATTTGGTTAAGGTATAATCAATGTTCAATAGTCAATATTCAATAGTCAGGCGCTAACGAACGTAACTGGATTCACGCGCCCGACGCCCACGTCAAAAGACACGTCGCTTATTTGGTTAGTAAAATAAATGTTCAATGGTCAATATTCAATATAGTCAATAAATCAATAGTCAATAAATCAATGGTCAATAGTCAGGCGCTAACGAACGTAACTGGATTCACGCGCCCGACGCCCTCGTCAAAGGACACGTCGCTTATTTGGTTAAGGTAAAATCAATGTTCAATAGTCAATATTCAATAATCAATAGTCAATAAATCAATGGTCAATAGTCAATATTCAATAGTCAAACGCTAATGGACGAAACTGGATGCACGGGCCCGACGCCCTCGTAAAAGGACACGTCGCTTATTTGGTTAAGGTAACGTCAATAGTCAATATTCAATACTCAATAGTCAATAAATCAATGGTCAATAGTCAGGCGCTAACGAACGTAACTGGATTCACGCGCCCGACGCCCACGTCAAAAGAGACGTCGCTTATTTGGTTAGTAAAATCAATGTTCAATAGTCAATATTCAATAGTCAAAAATAATCAACAGTCAATAGTCAATCTTCAATAGTCAATATTCAATAGTCAATCAATATTCAATAGTCAGGTCTTAACGGATGTGACGCCCTCGTCAAAGGACACGTCGCTTATTTGGTTAAGGTAACTTCAATACTTAGTCTATATTCAATATTCTATAGGCAAAAGTCAATAATCACTTGTCCATAATTATTTCTATTGCATCACATATTGTACATTTTATATGTCAAAAGACACGTCGCTTAATTGGTTGAGGTAACGTATAGTCAGTCAACTGTCTATGTCAATATTCATAAATAATAGTCGTAGAGTCAATGGTCAATAGGTAACAGTAAAAGGTCAATAGCCAGCAGTCAACCGTCAATGAATGAATAGTCAATGGTCAATAGTCAATATTTTTATTGCATCCCATGTAATGAATTTTATTCACTCGCATTAAAAAGATCATTCTACCCGTGAATGTGGTAAGAGGCGACTTAGGGACAAAATATACGCGAGCACTTGACCTTTCCTACCCATCTGGTTAGCGCTAGGAAATTAAAGAGAGCCATCCTTCTGCAGAGGAATCTCCAGCTTATCGCTATAAACTAACAATAGTTTACGTACTTTGCACTGCAAACTTTGCAATAGAATCTATACTTCTATACCAATTTATAAATGCGAAAGTAACTCTGTCTGTCTCGCTTTCACGCCTAAACCACTGAACCGATCTTGATGAAATTTGGCATAGAGATGATGATGATGAGTTTGGGTCCCGGGAAAGGACATAGGATAGTTTTTATCCCGGTTTTTGAAACAGGAACGCGCGTGATAAAGTTTTTCTGTGACAGACAAAATTCCACGCGGGCGATGCCGCGGGCGGAAAGCTAGTACCTAATTAAATATAGTACTGACGTATAGTAAAATACAAACATTGTACTCGCGCATTATCACAGCGATTGGAATGTACAGCGATAGCACACCAAGCTTTACACTATACCACCTTATGTAGTGGTATTAAAAGCTATTTTCCAACAAAAACGTTCAGTCTGATGTACTTCGATTACAGACTATACGCCCCCAACATTCAAGCTATTGTCTGCGCTTGCGCACGTGTTGAGATGACGCAAAGTCCATTGATAACAGGGTCGTGTCGCCTGTTTACGTCCACTATTGCGTTCAAACTTCAAACGACAGATTACCCTATCCTATTTTAATCACTACCTTAATTGCGTTCAAACGACGGTTTACTCTAATTATAAGACGGCCATAGATCAATGATGTCAGTATCGGACTGCCTGATTCCAGGGTAGATAGTTCGAACACCATCGTCCACTGGACTATTGTGATGACCCCACTCCAAGCTTAGCTGGAGGAGAAGATTTCTTTAATAAAAAAAATAAAAACAATGGAAAACAATAACCATACCGATACTCCAACAAAACCTAAAGCCTGCATGCCTGAATACTCATAAATATCTTCAACTGTTTTTAAGATTGATCTAACTTGTGATGGACGCAAACAGGTGACATGACCCTACATACTTAAGCCTGATCGTATTTTTTGTAAGAAGACATTACCTCAGTACTTTAGGACATAGGAAATTCCAGTTTCTTTAAAATTTTGCAACATTATGAGACGTCAAAACTTTTTACGCTGTCTTTTTGCAATCACAATAAAACTACATGCATTATGGTATGTTTTATGAACAATAGATCATTATGTACAAGATTAGCTGGTATGTAATTAGTTATTTTAATTGTAAATTTTTTAGTTATGTTTAAAACATCAATTACAGAACGATTAAAAATGAGGACGTGTGAAAAATTCGCGTGCGCGTAGGTTCTGACTGACTAATGCGTGAAGAACGAAAATTTATAGTGTTTAGGATTTTTGCATTTAAAATTTATAAATAAATAGGTATTATTTTAAATATCAATTATTTTCATATGACTACATTTCTATGTTGTGCTTAGATCCAGTCCATTGTTGAATTTTTTCAGGATTTTTTTAAATTCATTTGAAAAATATATCCAAAAAAGTTTTAAGATAAAGAAATAGGTTACTTTCATGAAAGATCTACTTTATCCGTGTACCTATATTATTTTCAATTAATCACACATTGTAACATAATTGAGTCCTTTTTTTGAATGCCGACAAGGCTGAACAAAGCTTGCACAATTTGAAAATTTTTACTCGCAAGTTTATTTACTACTAAGTAATAAATACGTAAATTATTTATTTAATATTAAGTACACATACTCGTACGAGTAGCAAACACACGTACGTAGACACATACCACCATAATATGACACCATTTATGTCTTGTGCCTATGATGCAACAAACATTTCGATGTACCGCCATACTTAATGTACTCTTCTCTGCATCCCCAGTTCCTCGGCTGCACACAAGTGGACCAGCCAAAAGGCATCGAAGTAGTCAAGGACGCCATCAAGAAGCTGCAGTTCACGCAACAGCTGAAGAAGTCCGAGACGAAAGACGCGGCGAAATGCAAGAAGGTCGAGATTACCATCTCCGTGGACGGAGTCGCGATACAGGTATGTTTCTAGGTCTTATTAAGTGACATAAGTGATTGTGTACTACATCTTCCGGGAGTATTAAGTGGCATGAGTGACAAAGTACTACACTTTAATGTATATTTTAGTAGGTTAAGTGACTAGGTACTACAGTTAGGTTGAATGCTTAGGTACTACAACTTAGGGAGTATGAAATGACTAGGTACTATACTTTCGGTAACATTAAGTATCATAAGTGGCTGTATACTACATCTTAGGGTAGTATTATGTGGCAAAAGTGACTGTGTACTACAACTTACGGGAGTATTGAGTGGAATAAGACGTAACTAAGTAGTACACTTCAAGGGACTATTAAGTAGAGGAGCGAGCGAGGAGAGTTGTGACATTGTCGATTTTTGGCAACCTATTAACTATCAGCGAGTTCGCAACAGCGCGTGTTCACAAAAATCTTCTCGGTCTCCCTTAGGTCAAGTCACTAGGTATTACAAATGGTTTAAGTGACTCTGCACTTCATCTCACAGGACGTTGAGTAGTATAAGTGACCGTGAAATACATCTTTTTGGCCTATTAAGTAGATTAAGTGACTAGATACTACTTGCCACAGAATCTATCTTACGGGAGTAAAGTGACTGTATTGATCCTACCTTACGGAACTAAGTAACTACCTACAAATAAAGAAGCTTGGGAAGGGTAAATCTAGCAATCACTTAAATACTTTAAGGACGAGTTGCACCATCTTACTTTTAACAAACCTCAAAAATCTGTCAAACTCCATACAAAAACACCGGTTAACGGTTAAAGTTAGGAGGTGCAACTCAGCCTAACTGTCGAAATTAACACTGTCAAATAATATTTCTCAAAATGTAATTATTATTTGCACACAAGTTAACCGTGCCAGTTAAATATTACGAGAAATACACATAATTTCGCAACGCGTTATAAATCCATGCGCGTTTATGTTCGACACTCAGTGCGCCATTGTTTTCACTTTCAACTGTTATTAGAAGGGTTCCGCATTGAAATAAACGAACCTTATGTGGTTTACCCGACTGTGACAGAAGGGGGGTTATGTTTTTCCAATGTATGTATGTATATGCTCTGTGTGTACCTACCTGTAGCCTAAAGCTAAACGGCTTGATGAAATATTAGCTACAGGTAGACCTGCTAATATACAGGGTGTCCCAAAAAGTAGTGTCAAGCCGAAGCCCAGAGGTAGAAAAAAATCAAAATCAAAAGTATTTATTCAGTTTAGACCACAAGTGGCACTTATGAACGTCAAAATATTATTAAAGAAAATAATAAAAAAAGAAAAGGTAGCCCTTATGGGGCACTTTACATGTCTCCTTATCTTTTGGGCCCTACCAGAGGATCTCTACTCTAGAGCATCACTAGGGCTACTCGAATGTATAAGTATGCTTCGTATGCTCTGTCTCGTCATAAATGTAAATGTCACCCCTCCCGTGCCACTCCAATATGTCAGGTACTGACTCAGTTAAATGCGCTAGACCTTATAGAGAGACGTTCGTTAGATTCGTCTTAATCTGTGAGAACAACACCGAGTACTTATTTATCAAAGTTACTTTTACTATCATTAACGCTTTCAGCTAAGGACGATGATTTTTGTAGTTTTTATGAAATCTAAGAAATAGTATTTTTTAATCATTGTTAGTGCAATAGACAAAATTTTGTACCAAAAGCGCATCTACAAAAATAAATTAATGCATAGGCAGGCACACGCCAAAAAAAAAAAATGAAATCCACATACTGAACCCATATTAAAATCGAGCTCGCACTCCACTAATTTATGTAACATGCTGAGCAATTGGGCCGCGCGTGACTAATATAATTTAAATCAAAATGTCCGTGTAACCGTTAAAATTCAGCAACCAGCCTTTGTCTTAATTCGTGTAGAAGTTAGGATTACCAATGTGTGTATGACCTAGAAAACTTTAGTAGTCTGTGGCACGCAGAAATGTCAGTTACTTTAGTTATCTGTGGCACGAAATGTCAGTGTAAAAAAAAATCTAATCAAAATTTTCTTTATTTGTTTAGACTAATTAAATTAGTTCTTGCAAATCGTCAAATGCTCTTAAGGAGCCTATACATGTCTCATTATTTTTTTGCCCTACCAGCGCTTCGAGACAAACATTTGGCAAGTGCTGAGAAGAAGCGCCGCAACAAACTCAGTCACCACTGTCTGCCGGTTTAAAAATATAAAAAAGTAGGAATTGTAATGAACCTTGTTTGTATACGGTTATGGTGAGAAATAAACGATATTATTATTATTATTATTATTATTGACAGGAGGGCTACTGTCAATGCTGGGTTATTAGTTCCGATTTTGGCCACTTCGCGTTTCAGAATCGTTGCACATTTTGATCGCCTCAGTGGGAAGACCAACTGCTTCAGACCTTGAGGTCTCGGCCTCGATCCTAGTAAGTTCAACATTTTTTGCTGGGAGTGTAGGCCAAATCCTTCATTTGCCTCTGGTAAATTAGTATGCTTAATGATCTTGGACTAGATAATTAAATTAATAACTTAGTGGTAGGTAATTATGATAGCTACCTCACAAAATAAAAGTAAAATCCGCAACTTAGACTGAGTTACTTTAACTGTAACTTTGACATAACAAGACTCAATACTCAATATGTGGTTTTTGTTGACAGGTTTTTGACGTTTATTAGGTTAAAGTAAGATGGTACAACTCAGCCGTAGATGCAGGTTTTTGATTAATTGATTTAAAATACTAAAGTCCTACTTACTGAACCGATTTTGTTAAAATAAATATGACCAAAACGAGATCAACTCTAGTTCAGTAAAAAAAAACTTTTGTTAAGTCGGTTAAAAACTTCGGTTAAAAATTTAAAGTTAAACACAACTTTTGCGGTTCCAATCTCTTAAACCGCATTTTGTGGCCCCTTTTAAGGTTTGCCCAAAACCGTAAAAACATAGAAAGCAGAACGTGTCTTTACATAATCTTTTGTCAATAATCACACCGTTAACGTCGTAAGTCGTAATTTCGCGCGTTGCGTGTTAAATCGCATAACAAATACGTGGGTGTAATAAAAGAAGATATTTTATAGTTTTTCTAGGTTAGTTAACCATCTTAACGCTCTACATGTCTTTATTAAGAAGTTAAGAACCAGCTTTTTGAAAGAAAGAAAGAAAAAATATTGATTTTGTTCCAAAAATAAAAACAAAACTGTGATATAAAATTACTGTAAATTCAGTAGTTTTTGCGTCAAAGAGTCAAACATCCATCTATCCTCACAAATGTTTACATACAACTAAAACGTACAGAGAAATAAGTAGGTAGGATATTTTTTTGGTAGAGACAGAGAGACGCGGGCAAAAGCTAGTCTATAATTATTTTTAAAGCTTGTTTAATCTCTTTGTAAGCCTAAGTTCTTTATTGTGTATGAAAACAAGGTTACAGAAAGATCTTAAATTAAATACAAAGTATCTCTTGATCCTACCATTTCAGGCATACCTACTTATATTTCTTATACCTATGTATTTATTTATACTCTAAGTACCTATTTATTCTTGTATACTATAAAAACAATGTTTAATTAACCATTCCTTAATTACATTTAATTTTCTGAACGTAGATATCGTAAGGAGTAAAACTCTATTTCCTTTGCAAGTCTAAACTGCCTTTAATGGGGATCAAACAGCGACTTGTCCATCGAAGCGTACAACTAACTGTACAACCGCGACAATGGAGAGTTAAGTATACCACCGTGACCTTGTGTCGTGAAAGTCTAGTCTAGGTAGGAAGCGAGGCTAGATTTAGCTAAGACTTCGCCTAGTTTAAGAACACAGATCACAGAAACTAAAGGGAGATGTGACAAGGGGGCGGGGCCAGTGTCGCAGCAATATGTCCAAAAACAGAACAAATTACTCGTGAAAGCAATGATGACAGCAGCGACGTCATAATGTGAACAGTTTACATTCCTTGCGTAGTACTAAAGATTATTCGAACGTTGAGCACTAATATCGCAGTGGATAATGAGCACATATTTTGATTCTTTGTGTGTGTGAATTTCTAATGCGACACTGAGTTTCGAACTTAGCGCATTAGTTGGCATTTCTCTATATCTCTATATTTAACAATAACTGTAACTGAAACGACTGTGACGTTTTATTTTTGTCTTGTATTGAAATCTAGGTTAAGAGATTTACGGCCGTATTCACAAACGATACTTGCTTAAGTGAAGCAACAAATCGAACGCACAGCGTCCACGCGCACTGTGAGACCTCATAGTAATGTTAGTGAATACGGGCGTTAATTTTTGACGACTTCTTAGCCTAGTGGTTCGCATTGCATACTGGACTACGTCAGAGGTTGCGGGTTCGATACCCGCAAAATACAATAATTGCGCGTTTGAGCTTAGATGACCCTGTGTAATAATTATGTCCGAGGATATTTAATAAACTAGGTATCTTATTATTATATTTTATACCTACTACATAAATTGCGAATGCTGAAGAAAGATGGATAATTATTAACCTTAGGCAAAAACCATCGGACGGATTTTGATGTTTACAATAAGTCCTATTGCACCTATAAATTATAATATATCCGAGCAAGTCACATTAGAATACTGGATGCGGGCTGCGTTTACTTTGACCTAACCAGTGCAGTTTTACTGGAGTATATTAAATTGAAAATGCTACTATTTTCTGGTATAAAACAGGCATGTCCGATTTTGAGGTCAAATATCACTGTGACGTAAAAAATCTTGGACACTTTTTTTGTAAATCGCGCCAAAACTTTATCTGTCTTTAGCCAGAATTTACCTGACGCATTTTTCTAACCAACCTCTTTTCTCCTCTCTTCCAGGAGCCAAGAACCAACAACATCATGTACCAGTTCCCTCTGCACAGGATATCCTACTGCGCGGATGATAAAGGCGCGAAGAAATACTTCTCTTTCATCGCCAAAGGTAGGTAATTATTTTAACAAAAGACTATCCCCCTTACTAATAAAACTTACACGCTCGTTGAACAGTGTTTTAAAGTGACGTTTAGTATGGAAATGTCATTTTAAAACAGTGTTCAACAACTATGTAACTTTTTATTAGTAAGGGGCTAAAGTTCTGTGGATAGGTTCATGATTGATCCTGGGTTCGATTCCCAAATGGAACACGCAAATTAATCTATACCTTTCGATGTTAAGACATCGCTTTTTTTACCATTCGATGTAGTATAATTCGAATAACCATCGATTTAATTGACCGTTCGAGGTTATTAAGACACTCGATGTAGGTACAAAGACTCTCAATATCACGACGGAGGGAACCTAATCCATATCTGTGGAGGGAACCCATTTCGTTGCTGGTCCAATAACAACTTTAAATAATGGCGGTCAAGCTGTAGATCCTGGCTACACAGGAGTTGCAGCGGTGGGAACGAGAGGTGGGAATAATATAACCTGATCATTATAATAGTGCCGTTAAAATAACCTGATAATTATAATGTTACTTAGTATCAAAATCTTGTTATTCCAGGTGCCGCCAACGGAGCAAATCTCGAGAACGGCCCGGAGAAACACGAATGCTTCGTGTTCATTTCCACGAAGCTGGCTTCAGAGATTACGCTCACCATCGGTCAAGCCTTCGATTTGGCTTACAGGTTAGTTCATCATCATCATCATCATCATCATTTCAGCCACAGGACGTCCACTGCTGAACATAGGCCTCCCCCAATGATTTCCATATCGCCCGGTTGGTAGCGGCCTGCATCTACCAACTGCATCTGCACTACAGATTAGTTATCAACAAATTATTTTGTTCAAAGTACATATTATTAAGTAAATCCAACAAGAGAACTACTCTTCCTAGGTTATCTGGAATAGATCGCATTCAGCGTTAAGACCGCATTCGTGTATCTTGTAATTTTGTGCTTGCTTCTTCACAAAACAAGACGGCAAATGGCGCGGATCAACGCGTAGTGTTGTAACTGTTCTGTTAAAAATAATACCGGTTAATAATAGTTACCGGTTTTTTAGACTTCTTGTATCTTTACCGGTAAATTTTAATTAATGAAAACTTATTACAGGCGGTTCTTGAACGACAACGGCAAATACATTGAAATGCAAAAACTCACGCTTCAAAACAAGAAATTAGAGCTGCAAATGAACACGTACAAAACCAGATTACAGGTAAATATATTGCTGTATTTTGCAATAAATTATAGTAGTACCTATACTCGATGTTATTTACTTATTAAATTATTGTATTTATTTCGTTTACGTCATCTAATGGCCAGAATCTGAATAAAGTAGGTATCTGAGTTTATTATTTGCATGACTGATTAAATCTAAGGTGTGAATTGTTGACATACCAATTGTAAAACATCTTTGTAAAACATGCTAAAGGCAAACAATATTATTATTATTCTTTACATAATTTATTAAGATCACGTGTTGACTAAGTTTCTTGCATTGCTTCTTCTTGGCCCTGGTGTTAATTTTTCGAAATATAGTAGAACGTGTTGAAAAAAATCATTACTTAGTACTTTTTGAGCTTATGATAAATCAAGTTTCAAAATGACGTGGGCCACTGGCTTTTTAAAAAGCCACCAAGGCTTTTTATACAGGGTGTCAGGTAAATGGGTTTATAAGCCGACACTAGCCCATGTCGCTTGTTCTCAACGAGCCACACCCAAACGAGTAACCCTGTTACTGGACAAAACATTTTAAGAGATGTCCTATCGAGTAACGGTGTGACTGGATGGAATTTTTTTTCCCAACGAGTTACAGGGTTACCCGTTTGGGTGTGACTCGTTGGGAACAAATAAAATAAATAATAAAAATTTGATAATATCAATATTCTGACTTCACCATACCAAATCTACAATTTCTTTTATTTCTTATTCCAGGAGCTATCAAAAATAACGTACAAAGACGATTTATCGGCGTATCTCGCGCGCAACAGTCTCTCTGACATCGCGGAGTTCAAGGCGCCCGAACTGCTGGAGAAGCAGCTCGCTTCGCTCACGCTGGCTAACGGGTTCAGCGCGATGAATGGGAATAAGACTCCTGAGTTAGGTGAGTTATTAATAGAGTTTAATATTGTTTTGTTGTTTGACTTACTTACTTTTATTAATAAATCCTAGACGGATATACCTAGTAGGTACCTACCTAAGTAAGCGCAAGAAAAGTGAGGCACTTCAAACTAGACCACTGGTGCCAGTAGCCAGTGCTTAGTTTTTCCCACATAGTTGACAAAGTCAAAGTAAAAGTTTGTAAGATGACCTTGGATGACATAATGACTTTTGCCTCACTTTATTAGACGAAGCGCTTGTATGAAAATTATCCATCTAGATGTTAATGTAAAGTTGTTGTGGAAAATAGTGGTGGTTTTGATACGAGCATTTAGGTGTAAAGTGACAATAATATAATTCAACTATGAGCTTGAAGTCAACACAGTCATTGCATTATAAAAAATTGCAAGAAAAAGATATAAAAGTTCCATAGCTCCATCCATAATAACCCTCTCTAGCGCTGTTTCACCTGTCTGTCACCCGCTCATGCTCTTGCTTTGAGTGAAAGATAGGATAGACGGGTTTTTGTTAAAAACTATAGATTAAAATCGTTTCTCTGTCTGATTTAATGATGACTCTTAGAAAAAGCCTATTAATGAATGATTGTATTTGTTCACAGCGACAGACGCGTTGTCGAACAACTCAACGGAGACATTCAACTCGAGCAACGACAACAATCTGTTGCTGTCCACTCCGCCGCCTACGCACAATGGAAAGGTCAACTTCAACTCAGGGTGAGTTCATATCAAATCTTAAGCCTTAAGAAGTCATTAGTTATGTACCTCAATTAGTCAGCACAGTTTTTTTAATGATCTGTAAAAATACCGCTGCTTTTAGCATTTCTGAAGTAATTCTTCACTCTGTAATTTTTATATTTTCCATCTTTTTTCACTTTTATGTACCTACACTCGATGGATAAATCAGACTTCATTTATGTAGCAAAATAGAACCTATTACACACGATGTTGCAGTGTTTTTAAAGCAAATTAAATGTAATATTTGTAATTTTACAGAAAACTCCTGGGAGATTTGTCGTCAAGCAAGAACCCCGTAGTAGGCACCAAATTAGAAGGCCTGCTCCTCAACTCAGACTCAGATAGTGGTAAGTCAAACATCTTTCAATTTCCTATCTCTACTTAAAAAAAAGTTTTATTTATATTAGGTATACCAGACTGCCAATTTAATCGTAGGTAGTTCGAACCCCATTTTCTGGTGCGCTATTATAGTAAACCCTCACAAGCATTATCATTATAATTTCAGCCATAGGACGTCCACTGCTGAACATAGACCTCCCCCAATGATTTCCATGTTGCCCGGTTGGTAGCGGCCTGCATCCAGCACCTTCCTACGCTATCTTTATGATGTCGTCTGTCCACCTTGTGGGTGGACGTCCCACAAGCATAATATTAAAAGCCTATTATAACTTACAGATTTTGACCCGCGCGCGTACGAGTCGGATCCCATGAGTCCGCCAGCGCACGCCTCATCGCCTGCGCCCGCGCCTCCGCTCTGTAAGTTGTTGTTTTATTATGTTTTTCATATTATTATTGCATCTCTAAAGAAAATTATTAAATTAAAAAACCTAACCTTTTTACTTGGTTCCATGAAAGCCTGAGACTGATATTTGTTAGTTACATCCCAACTTGCCAAGGGATGGAAGGCGCGATGCCATGAACAAGGGCTTTCGTGGAAGATCAGTTTCTTGTTATGTTAAATACTGAGCGGGAGCCTATTGACGCAGTGGCCCACTATTTTCTATATGCGTTTTGTGTTGTTATTGTTTATAATTTGTGCTTACTGTGATCAATAAAGTCTATTCTATTCAACTTCTTGCTAAATACAAGATTTATTTATTGACTGTGTATTTTTTTCAGTGGCTCCACCCCCGAAGGCCTCAAAACGCCAAACGCCGCCGCAACAGCAGCCGCCACAGCACCCCACTCCCCCCCAGACCCTGAACTCCGATCTATTCGGCTCTACCCCCTTCTCCCCCCCTCAAACCATGCCCCAAATGTCAAGCCCCTTCGCCCAACCCAACAAACCAAACTACGACATTAGCGATTTCAACCTACAAACATCGGTTTTCAACAACACTACGTCGTTCACGAACGGTCTCAGCGGCTACGATCCTTTCGACACTCAAAAAACCGGCAACATATTCGGCAGCGGCTTCGGCAACACGTTCAACGGATTCGGAAATCTGAGCGAGAAACAGACGGTGGAGCTCGACAGCAGTTTCAACGGATTTTTAGACAAAACTATTTCGGAAATGAAGGTTAGTTGAAGTTTTTCACAATTTGCTTACTGTCACTTGATGTCAGTACATCAATATTTAATTAGGGCAGTTAGGTAAGGCAAAAAAAAATTAAAAAAAAATCAAATCATATTCATGTACTTAGGAAAGTCACAATCAGTTTTTTCTCTATTAAACAGATTTCTTTATCTCTTTTAGGTTGAAAATTGGTGAGTTTGAGTGTAAAAAAGCTTCTAAACATTGTAAAGTGCGAAAAAATAATGATTAATTAAAATTAATTTGTGCCTTTTGTATTCATTTTTAATAATCTCGCTAGATATGGATTTTAGGGAATTGTATAATGTTTTGTGTTGGTTTAAATTATTTGGTATTTTCACCTTAACATTTTGTCATCAATACAAATAGTGTTTGTGTGTATTTTTGTCGTTTTGCTGGGTAATTATGTGTGGGCTTCCATTGGATCAAATGAGCTGTCTATACGCGATTGCTCTATAGTTTTGTATACCATTTGGAACCTAAAAAGTCAACAAGTTTATTAACTATTCAATGATTTCAAATTCAAAGCTAACTAAAAATAAATTCAAATGTGTATTTTACAACTAATTGGGTTTTCAGGGGTGAAATCAAATGTTCGAAAAGAACTGTATATTAATTTTTTTTCTAACTTTCTTTATTTTTACTTTGCAGGATGGATTCAGCAGGGGGATCACCTTTGGAAACGACGATTTTTCAATAGATAACCTCGATCCCCTGAAGAAGAATTAATTAAAAGTTTATTTTTTCATAAAATAACTTTTATAAAATAGTAAAAAAAACTAGATAATAATTGTGAGAGAATAAAATCTCGTATTTATTCACACAACATTATGTATTATGTAAATGCAATAAAGTAATATTTTGATTTTAATTATTATGATCGGATTTAATTATGAGAAATTGTAGTTTTTAAGGGTTGTGTGAATCGAAACGATATTTGCGAAATATTTTGGAAAGCTCATGTGTTGCCATGTTATTGGTTACAAATATAATATTTGATTAGTTCGTGATAATAGATAATTAATATTTTCTTTATAAAGTATGATATTTCTTTTCATGTTGCTTATAATCACTTCTTTAATCAGGAATCTCAAAATAATATAACCAGTAATGTGACAAAACATTGCTGAATTTTAACGTGGAAAATATTAAAATGATATTAATGTACGATATTATGTAACGCTCAATGTCATTCCCCAAGAGTCTTTTATTAAAAAGAAATAAAAGAAAATAAGTAAAAGCCATTTTGATTAATAAATTAATTGAAAAGTATAAGTTTTGTACACGTTTTAATATTTCCAGAGCGCCAAATAAGTAAGTAAAATACAAAATCCTCAGTAACATTTTAGCGAATCGTGTTTGTAAAGTTTTATTTAACCAATATTTTAGTTTTAAAATATGATTTTGGTAGATTAAAATTAAATTATATTAATGCGAGGACCAAAATTTACCACGAAAAGTTTGAAGATCACCTCATCATTCTGTGATAAATCTCTTCGTTTTTGGGGGACTTCAAATTACTAAAAATCGCGACTGAATATTATCTAAAAGACTTCAGAGTGTAAATAAATTAACGAATAAGACCTTTTTTATATTTACTAATATACATTAAACCGGGTGGCATTGAAGCTAAAGGGTCAACACTTATACATTCCATTTTTTACAGTTTGCCATTTTGATCATGCCTTTTGGCTGTTTTTATACAACTTATACGAATTAACTTTGTAAATAAGATCTACGATAAATGTATTCAAGCTTGAGTGTACTTGACGAATAATACTGTCTGAAATTCTCTCCATTGAAATCTCACACATACAAATTATTGAACATAAAAATAAATATTCAATTGAATGATTAAAATTGTAAAACTGTACGACTATTTTACTATGATAACTACTTTTACTCGCTTTTAGTTTATCTCTAGTTGTGTATAATAGTAATAAACTGTTGTATTGTATTGGAATGACGCGTTAGTGGATTATTGTTTTAGTATTGTGTACACTAATGTTACTATAAGGCCAAAAGATATACATAATTGTGTATTTTCAATAAAATTTATGTTTATATTTGATTGTTTTATTAGTAACATTTGAATGAAAATATTTGAAAGTCCCCATAATCTAAGCCCATACCTCTATTTAACTGATTTACAAAAGACACGAAACAAATAATTATTACTCAGCATAACGTTTACGTTGTACAGAAATAATGAACCATGGCTGGAATTACAACATTCAAGCCCTTTTCTTTGTGTGGTCCTAATGAGGATCAGTACTGTTGTAGAAAATTCAATAAAACTAGTATCTACGTTAATCTTTAAGACATAAGAAAGATATATCTTTTTGAATTATCCAAATCGGACCATTACTTACGAAGATATTAAGTAATAAACATAGGCCGTTTTTGCCGCTAAAAGTCAACGTACGCAGGGCCGCGTGACGTCATTATATCCGAATCGAGCGCAGCCGGCGTACTATTGGGATGGAAAATATTTTTTTCCAGCTAAACCATCAGTTTTAGAAAAAAACTTTTAATAACATTTATTCATCAAAATATACCAGTAATTTAAGAAAATAAAAATTGTGAAAATTAAGTATCGCTATGTCCAAAAACCACATTTTCATAGGATTCGATGCAATGCGGAGACGCGGTTGGGGTGAGTGTAACTTAAAGATTGTTTGTATTGAACATAATAATACATAATATGATGCTAATACCCAGTTTCTGGCCTGGGGGGGGGGGGATAAGTCATACCCAGCTTATAGCCTAGGGGGAGGGGCAAGCCTTACCCAGCTTCTGGCCTTGGGGGGAGGGGATAGAGGCAAGTCATACCCAGTTTCTGGCATTTCTGGCATGGGGGGGTGTCATACCCAGCTTCTGGCCGAAGGGGAGTCATATCCAGCTTATGCTTATGGCCTGGGGGGAGGGGCAAGCCTTACCCAGCTTCTGGCCTGGGGGGAGAGGGAGGGGTCAAGTCATACCCAGTTTCGGGCCTGAGGGGGGGGGTAAATCATACCCAACTTCTGGCCGAGGGGGAAGTCATGCCCAGCTAATGACCTGGGGAGAGGAGGGGGGCGGGGGAGTCATACCCAGCTTCTAGGCTAAGATTAAACAGGAGGGAGCAGCTGTCCTTTCCTGCAGCAGCTGGTCCGCCCATGGGAACGGCGAAAAGATAGGTAGGTACGTAGGTTTAACTCGGAAAAACTAAATAACAGGTAGGTATTGCGTGTACATCGAAATGATCTGCATAGAAATGTCTTGTAGCCTAGGCAGAGTGTATCTGCCTCAGCTATACCTTATTGTTAGAAGTAAATAAATTAATACTTATACATTTTTATATTTTACTTGGAAGAAGATATGACTCTAACAACACTTTGAACACTTTATTTGAATAAATCGCCAAATATACCACCGCGGAGACCCCAATCGCGTCTCTGCGTTCCATTGAATCGTATGAGCGTATGGATTTTTTGCGTTATTTTTCACAATTTCTATTTTTAAAATTACCTATCGATAGCTTACTTTATTCTGATGAATATATGTCATTACAAGTTTTTCTCTCAAACTGATAGTTTGGCTAGAAAAAAATATTTTCTATCCACGCAGTACGCCGGCAGCGTTCGGATCGGATACAATGACGTCAACGGTCCCGCGCCGGGCGGTCAGTGAACTTTTTTAGTAATTTGGCCATAACTTCGTCAATTTTTGTCGTAGAACAAAAATTTTTGGACTGTGTATTAAGGATTTCTTAGCCCTATAAATCTGCATTCACAGCTAAAAATCGAAATGATCCTCATTCTGAACCATTGAAATTTACATAAGTATTTCAAGGTAACAATTTTCCACGCTACTGGACAAAATTAAACAAATAAATACTTTAGTCGGTAGCGCTATTATCTATTGTGAATTTGTGACGGTAGTGATACTTTCCGGTTCAAAAAAACCGGTAAGCTAACAACGTTTCGCCTCACTACAACTGTCATCCCGATTGTTGTCGTCAATACTTTGGGCCGCTTTTATTTTGAGCGATTTTGATGAATATTCGCTAACAATCAACGATTGTTATGAATTATCTTCACTAATTAAGTGAAGAAGTCGTGCCGTTTCAGTATTAGGAGGAAATATCTCAGTATTATCTAAAAATGGTGGATCTCAGTGGTGGTCAAGATGGCCCGCTTGAACATGCATTTTCCAACTCGGTTTTCATCGTTCCTGGCATCATTGTCATCAGTTTATCAGGTAAATTATGTTTATTATTTACTTCTTACCATAATTAATATAAATTCCACATTATACAGTAAAAAACTACAAGTCAGAAGTGATTTGTAAAATCTGTCGAATTTCGGGTGAAAGTTTTATAAATTCGATGGAAAAACCTTTTTATAAATTCGTTTAGTTATTTTTTACATATTTTTCCAATGTAAGGTCGTTAGTACACACATTAGAAACCTATCTAGAGGGTTGCGCACAAAATAATTTAAAAAATATTTACTTACCTACATTTCAGAACAAATAAACAGGACTAACCGGCTTTTATCGCAAGTTCAGCTTAGTTTAGTGGTAGAAAATTGATGCGATAAACATCTTATTTAAAATGATTTAATTTTATGAAATAATAAAGCAATAAGATCTTTTTTATTTCCTGAAAAGGTACAAAAACAAGGGCAAGATCATTTAATTTTTTTATTGTATTTGATATCTTTCATCCTAAATTCCTAATTAGTCAGTTATTTGGAAAAATTATTAGAATTAAGTACATATTCACCTGTTTTATTTATTAAAACACTAGCTGTGCATCTCAGTGTTACCCACAGTAAAACGTAGCCTGTGTGTTAATCCAGGGTGTCGGCTAACTCCGTACCAAATTTTATTAAAATTGCTTCAACTGTTTAGTTTAGTTAGTCTTCTCAACTAAATATTGTCCACTGCTCAAGAACAGATTTCCACAAGAGGTTGTGCAAGGCCTGATACTTATTGTCTTTTTTTTGTTTATTAAACGGTTTGAGGTAATATCAGAATACCTACCTAATGAAGAGATTCAACTTTTGGCTCATATTTTTTTTACTATCAACCTCTTTGCTGGAACTATGGAGGTAATTGAAGTAGGTATTATACAGTGTGTCCCTGTAAGTATGCCTCAAACAAAAAGGATTGATTCTGCTATGCAAATGCAACAACTATCCTGCAGGAACAATTTCGAAATTCTCAAAAAAATATCCCCATACTAATTGGGTGATATGTGCTAAAGACGAATTATATGAAAAGGTAATTTATAACATTTGAACTTCTTTTCTCTTGGGGAAAATTGATGCATTTGAGCTACAGAATCAATAATTTTGTTTGATCCACACTTACAGGGACACCCTGTATTTATACATAGTAATAATATTAGTTAAGATAACTAAAAGTGTGCGCGATAATATTATGTTGGATATAAGCTGATAGTCAAAGAAAATTTAAAACTTTAGGTAGTTCAATTATCATTATTAAAACTATTAACATTGTATCATTTTTGATACATACTCCGTTGCTAAGACTGTGATAAGCAGCTATTTAAATAGTGGATGTACGTAATCGAAGAACACTTGTATTTGTTTTTAATAAATTATTAAATGCTGTTTGGTCCAAGTTGTAGGCTGACGATTTATTTTTTAATTATTGATGGCTTACAGACAAATTTTTATGTAGGTTGTGTGTGGGTGGGTACATCATGATTGTTATGATTTTTGGGTATAATTTATAGAAAAGAAACGTCATCAGTTAGCTGACATTGTTATGTTGTGTCTATGTTTATTTATGTGAGAATTATTGTACAATTATTTTTATGCTCTCTCTCTACAAAAATAAATATTTTTGTTATAAAAGCTAGAAGATATTAATCAAAAGAAAACAATAAACTAATCTTAGCCTTCTTACATTTATCAAGCAAAAAGTCACTAGTATTTTTATAGCACATTCACTAAGAGTCATGCCCACCTCTCGTTCCCACCGCTGCAACTCCTGTGTAGCCAGGATACAGCTTGACCGCCAATAAAAACCCAACCAGTGAAGGTCAAGTTTGTCCCAGGGGGGACATTCACAACAGTAAGAAGGAAACATCTTTACAAGAATTCACTCTCCAAAGAAACCACGTAAAACGCTCGTAGGCAGGATCTACAGCTTAACCGCCAATAAAAACCCAACCAGTGAAGATCAAGTTTGTCACATTCACGAGTCAGTAAGAAGGAAACATCTTTACAAGAATCCACTCTCCAAAGAAACCACGTAAATCGCTCATAATCTACAACTTAACCCACACAACTCTCGATGCGCCCGCGCCCACTCATTCCACAATCGCTTGCACCACCGACCACACCGCTCCACCATGGCCGACATCGACCTAGAAAACATGGAATTGGAAGACTTTGACCCTGAAGATGTTATGGCGGCGAGGCAGAAGCTTCTAGAAATGCTGGACAGCGAAAACATAGGAGAAGCAGAGAAAGAACAGCTAAGGGCTTTACTGAGTGGGAATATGCCGTTGTTTGCAGCATATGGCGGGTGGTCCGGTGTGCTATTGGCTCTTGGACTGGCGCTGATCATCTTTTCTATTATATGTGAGTAATATACATACCTAGGTAATGTCCATACATTCATATACCATATTATGTGGTCATATACATGTGCTTTCACAATATTAGGTAGTGGTTTCCTAAGCGGAATTTGATTCCTTTTTTTCCATAACGGAAAACTAAACTCTTGGCTTCTCAACTTACCTGATGGTGTTTTTTACCCATAACTGGGAAGCTCTTGGCCTGCATCTCACCTGATGGAAAGCGAAAATCTGGCTGAAGGTGGAAGCGAGATTCACCCGGGATCCTCAACCACAAAACTGGATATCTTGAAATAAAACGAAGACCTGCTTGGCTATTCTCTTCTCTAGATTATCTTTTGCTACTTTGCCCATTGACATTACAGAAACTATTCCCACCTCTCGTTCCCACCGCTGCGACTCCTGTATAGCCAACATCTACATCTGGTCTGGACACTGTCACTGTACACGCATCTACCAAAAATATGGGACTAACTCACGGAATTTCCAGTTGACCAATCACATATTTGCGTTCAAGTTCAAGTTCACCTGCTTCAGTGAGGTTTCATCCACTAAAGAGGCGTCAAAAAACTGAATACTTAACGTTTTCTTTGCTGTAACTGTGATTTTGTTGACAACAAAAGATAATACTAAAAATTTCCTCCCATTTCTTATTATATACTTGCTTGACCCATATCTATACCTTGCCGCTATCAGACGGAGCTTATGTCAACGTTATCATAACGACCAAGCTGCGTTCGACACGTTCGTAAAAATTACGTAAACAGCTCTTGATGGGCGATAAGTGGGGTTGAATACGTGTGGTCATGGACAGTGGCGTCGGTCGCCTTCTAAAATATCGGCTGCGGCTTCTCTCAGAATCTCGGAAATCTTTTACAACCAAATCCAAAACCATTTGGCCAGTTTTTTTTATAGTACGTGGAGCGTCGCTTCTGTTGAACAACTTGTCGTGCAGGGGAAGGTTGAGGGCACAAGAGCGCGCGGCAGATCGCCCATGCGCTGGATTGACCAGGTCAAAACTGCACTCAATGGTCCACTCCACGAGTGCACAAGAAAGGCTACGGTGCGGGAGAAATGGCGACGGATTGTGAGGCTTACCACCGGACCGGATGTGACGACCACGACCACTCTGGTAAGAGTGTAGCGACGTAGAAGAAGAAGGCCAGTATTTTGACACAAATACAAAACGAGGATGAGTAACCACCCCAATCAGGTGCGGAGCAACTTGCTATGTTGCTATCCCAGAAGCCTTGGAAATTAGAATGAACATTCTGGACATGGGGCCCAGATTTAACCAATAGTCCCATTGAAAATTCTTCTCTCATACCTTTACACAAAACAAAACTGTGTGGTTTCTCCAAAACTAACGGGTTATAATAAGGGTAAGGGAAAGCCTGAACTGAAAGAACTGTCGGTAATTTCAGATTGCCTTAAGATTTCTTACCACCATTGCACATGAAGCATTTAAGACAACCCACACTGGGATATGAGAAATTGGTAAGACTGATGAGTGATCACCCCAGAGGCATATTTGGGAGAGTTGTGCGCTCTTTTGGAAGAAAGCCCGAGAGAAGCGAACTGTAATTTTGTCTAGAATCTAGAAGGACCGCTTCTGTACCATATTCGAGGCCAAGAGGATAGTGCGCTCTTGACAAAAACATTTGTAACAGATTCAATTTCGCAAATGCTAGGAAGTGAAGAAATTACGTACAAGATAGCCGGAGCGAAGCGAACTGTAATTTTGTCTACATGGGCTGGTCTATTTATCAAGATTCAAGACTAAGAAGGATGTCGCGTACTGAGTCACCTTGTCAGTAGTAAAGCCTGGTCCGTGAGCACGTAGAATTTTGTCCAATGACCCCAAGCTACCCATCCTTATCGCTCGCGCGTAATTACGTTGCTGTCGCGCTCGCACACTCACTGCGGGCGCCCGTCGCACAGTCGCGACAGCAATATAATTACGCGCGAGCGATAAGGATGGGTAGCTTGGGGTCATTGGACAAAATTCTACGTGCTCACGGACCAGGCTTTAGACATGAATGATGCGAAGTAGTTTCGTACAAACATGTTGGAGCGAAGCGAACTGTAACTTTATCAAGGGGCTATGTATCAAGATTCGAGACCAAAAAGGACTTAGCGTACTGACGCCCGTATTCACAAACGATACTTGCTTGTGTAGAGCAGCAAATCGAACGCACAGCGATGGCTAGAGCTCTGTGACTGGTTCGTGTGTGACTCTGTATGTCCACGCGCACTGTGAGACCTCATATTAATGTTTGTAAAGCGTTTGTCTAGAGGAGCTATGTATCAAGATCGAAAAGGACTCGTACTGAATCACCTTGTCAGTAGTAGCAGAGTAAATACAAATGAGTAGGTCATCTTCATAGGAACGCATGGGCGCGGTTTGTATGTGAGCGCGCCAACACGTATGCGGCGCGCACGCACACACTGACAAAATTTAGCGGTGAGGTGCGCCGAATTTTGTCAGTGTGTGCGTGCGCGCCGCATACGTATAATGGCGCGCTCACATACAAACCGCGCTCGGTGCGTTTCTATGAAGATGACCTACTCATTTGTATTTACTCTGGTAGTAGACAAGACAATGATATCTCACAAATCAAATATAATTAGTAACTAACATAAACAATAACATCGTAATCTCCATACACAAAGAGACACGTAATGCCTACTTATATTATGTTGCATTTACGATAATTTGTTGATAAGTTTAGTTTATCTCCGAAGGTGTTGACTTAATAACGTGCGGTAAGCGTATTAATTGATAATTGGTTATTATTTGTTTTAAATTGTAATAAAATTTGCCAATTTTTGCGATTTTTTAGACGATTCTCAGTTTTGTAACCACTTTATTTACTTAGTAATGTATTGCATCTAATGTAAATAATAGAGCAGTCTAAATATTAAAATTTAACCAATCATAAGGCTTGAGTCTGAATATTTTAAAACGCTGTTTTAAAATACAAATCATTTCTTCTTCAAGAGGAGACGTTTCTTTTGCTACTTTATAAATAAATAAAAAAAACAAAAGATAATACCAACCGCCGCTACCAACTGGTCAAGGAAATCATTGGGGGAGGCCTATGTTCAGCAGTGGACGTCCTATGGCTGAAATGATAATGAAATAAGAATGAAGATCCTAAATGACCTTATACAATTAAAGAGCATTTAGCAATTTACTTAGTCATTTCAAAGCAGAGGTATTTCCCCAGATACAACAATGTAACGTCTCAGTAACGAAATAAACCGCCAGATAGTTACATCTGACGCATCTCTAGCACTAATGCATTCTAAATTTAAAACTGCACTTGACTCAGTTGTGGTTCTGCATTCGATACTGGCACATAATATCGGGTTTTCACACGTTTCATTTAAAAAAGTTTGTTTTTAGTTCATTAAAAAGTTGGGAAAAGATGTATTTAAAAAAATAAGTTGTGCGTGAAACTGGCCAGTTTCTCGTGGATGGAACGGTGTTTAAATTTTTTAATTCAGTTGTTTGGGTTTTTTGTAAGCTGTGGGCTTTCCGAAATTAGTTGCCAGTGTGTACTAACTCAATATTTTGTGGTTTTATCCTTATTTTTTACGCGACTGCGCCAGAAAGAGGGTTATGTTTTTAATGTAATATAGAAATCGGTTGCCAGAGTGTACTAACAATATTTTGGTGTTTTATCCTCATTACATTGTAATAAAAAAAAGCTTTCAAAAAACCGCGTTCCAAACTATTCAGTACTCAGCCGTTTTGGTGAGCTATTTTTTTTTTAATTATAAAAAAATCATTCAGCCTTTTTCCCGCCTATAGTCTCGTTTCTTTTGTTTTAACCAAACACTTAACATTTACTCTAAAAACTATTCAAATAGAAAATGGGCGAGCCAAACGTGATCAATTTCGGAGGTGTGATCAGCGAGAAAGTCCGCGAGTCCATAGAAGACATGGATGTCATGACAGTCCTCCAAAAAATGGTGGCCACCACACCAGAAGACGAGGAATCTGAAACTATTAGAGAGAAACTGCAAGGAGTTTTGCAGCAGTTCAACGAAATGTCAGATGAAGATAAAGTGACCTTTACGAAGCAAATAAAAGATGGACTAGCGAATAAAATTGCGATGAAGATGAGAGAACCGGGGGCAATAAAACTGGATGGTTTGGAAGACGCTATCAAAGAGGCGGTGGTGTTCCAGCTGTTTTTGGTCGGAGTGGTGGTTGCGATACTAGTTTTGTTGTTTGGTATGTCCCACAGTTTTGAATTTTGATAAAGCCCGGTCTGTGAGCACGTAGAATTTTGTCCAATGACTCCAAGCTACCCATCCTTATCGGTCGCGCGTAATTATATTCCTGTCGCCCTCGCACACTCACTGCGGGCGCCCGTCGCACAGTCGCGACAGCAATATAATTACGCGCGAGCGATAAGAATGGGTAGCTTGGGGTCATTGGACAAAATTCTACGTGCTCACAGACCAGACTATAGTTATAGAATAAACCCATACGTTAGGCAAAACATCGCTTAGACCATAAACGACTCGCCCGTATTCACAAGCATTATTATGAGGTCTCACAGTGCGCCAGGACGCACAGGGTAACAGACGAACCAATCACAAAGCTCTATTCAAAGCTGTGCGTTCGATTTGCTGCTTCACTTAAGCAAGCGACGTTTGTGAATACGGGCGTTAATTACAGCCCAATGGTGTCAGTGACGAAATGGCCGAATCGAGAACTGAGGATCTGAGGGTTAACGGGACTAATGCCAGTTTTCACCATCAATACCTATTTTTAAGTGAACCCTATGGTAACACTTAGCAGGAATTTTGTTTTCATTGGAGTCACTTAAAAATTAGGGTTTGATGGTGAAAACGGGCATAATATTATTAAAAAACATGTCTTATGCCCGTTTTCACCATCAATCCCTAATTTTTAAGTGACCCCTATGGTAACACATAACAGGATTTTTGTTTTCATAGAGGCCACTTAAAAATTAAGGATTGATGGTGAAAACGGGCACTAAGCAACCGTATGTCAAACAAGCAAAAAAGTTATAATTTAGGCAACTTATGAAAGAATTGCAAAGGCTTTTCCATAGTCTTTATCGGTCCAGGTGTTATAAATCCTCGTTAATTTTGATTCAATTAGATTTGATAAGCCAATGTTAGTGATAAGGAAATCATGGATTAAAATAATAGTTTTATTGTGCTTTGATGATACTTATCATTTTACTATCCAGTCCTAACTTATCTTATAAATAGAATAATTACTAATTATTCAAGATTCTTATATTCGTTTAGTTTCGAAGATGATGATTTATCCACAATATCGATTTTTTAAATATAAGGTTCAATATTTAAGGGAAGGGTGAAAGACGTAGCGTGGGCAGGCCCCCCACTAGGTGGACCGACGATCTGGTGAAGGTCGCTGGAAGAAATTGGATGCGGATTGTATCGTCATAGATCGGTCGTTATGGAAATCATTAGTCTTTTTCCAGCAGTGGACGTCATTTGGCTCAAATGAAGATGATGATGATTTAAGAGCATATAATAATAATGGTGTTGTCCACTCAGTGATTTCTGAATATTTTTTCTTGGTGTCTAAAACGATTTTTTTCTCTCTTTCTTCCAGTTTTCTTCGGCTACAAACTCTACAAATCAATAAAAGACAAAGAACTCAAAAAGGAGGAAAAGAAAAAAGCCAAGCAGATGAAAAAGAAGAAGTAAGAAGATTAAGAAGTTACACGGCAGAGGCTAAGAATACGGATTTATATCACTGACCGTTATTTTACTGCATAATGTAAGATAATTAAAAAAATAAAAGTTTGATTCGCTGTCCGTAAAAGCGCCTAGACTAAATGACGTTCGCCAACGAATCGATAACATTGAGGTAAGTTCGTAAAGTCGACTAACGCGCTATCTGTTGTGCCGTAGATGTACTAAAATATCTCAAAAATAAAATTTTACAATTTGTTGAAACGAACTTGATTCGGAGCGAGATTTCGATGTCTTATTTTAAACGCTTCTAGTAATAGATAAATTAATACTACTATAGACACTATTCAATAACAGAATCTGAATTCAAAAAACAGAAGGGGATATAACATCCCCTTAACAATAAAAAAATTAGAATTGTATGAATTTAAAATGAAGGTTAAAAATTTATTAATTGAAAAATGTTATTATAATCTGACGGACTTCCTAAGTGACAAAATTTGATTTACTTCTTAATTTTTTTTTTTTTCATTTAATCTGATTATACAACATTGACTTTAACTTTAATTTGATTTGATTATGCAGTATTATTGTAATTTTATTTTATTTTTAATTTAATTTGTACACCGCAAAGGTACGACATGTTGATACCATTTTAAATGCTGACTTAACACCTTATGTACACATGTTTGAACAAATAAATGTATCTTTATCTTTATCTTTATCTGAATGAAAAAATATTATATTGCCTACTTAATAAAGTAAAAATTTAGGCGGCCTAAATCTATGTGTTACAATCTTACAATCTTTTTTTAACAAAAGTAAATTTTTGTCATAAAATTTTAACGATTCGTCGATGTTGCCAGTGTAATATCATTATAAGTAAAATATAGGTCAGTGTTGGGACTGTTTTAAAATGCATTTTGGAAACTTTTGACGGACATACTTGTCATAATATTTGACATTATATTATAAACCTTATTGACCCTATATTTAAGTAACATTCAACTTTAATAGTGAAATATTGTCAAAAAAAGTTTTAAAATCAGTCCCTAAAATATCTAGAAAAATATGCATATTATTAAACTGGGAATTTATTGTGTAGCTAGTAAATATTTAACAGTATAAATAAACCATATTATTTATACATTTTTATTTGACTGTGGTGTATGTGTTGTGTAAAAAAATATGTACTTGTGATTAGGTACTGATTCTACAGACGTCCTGTCTGAAAAATCCTGACACACAAAAAATCTTATCAAAATCGGTCCAGTTGGTTTAAGATCATTTCAATGACACAAGTAGATGAATTATAGAATAATATTGGAATTGCAGTAGGTAGATTAGTCCTTTTTTATTTCCTTGTAATATTTATGTGCTATTTCTGTCTTTTTTTCTATATACCTTCTTTGTCCTTAACTTAGTGATGTTCATCATAATAAATGTTTCTTTCTTTACATTTGTTTAGGTATTCTTACATTTACGCACAAAATAGACAAAATATTTTTGTATAGATTTGCAGCAATGTATACGTTTTAAAACTAGGAAATTTAATTTGAGCCAAATATTGTATTTTATTAGTAACAAATTAATATATTTTAGAATGATTTATATTATTTTATGTATTTTGGTCGTTTATAATGGCATGCATAATTTTCTAGAGGTGCCAAAGTTAAAATGACTGAACTAAAACAATGTTAGTTAATATTTCGTAGTTATTTATTTTGTATTGATAGAATGTTAAATCAATTTCTTATTACGTTTATATAGAGTGCTCTTTGTTTGTAAAAAAAGCCAGGAAAATAAAAACTAAGGAATGCAGAGGATATTAATAATAGCTGATACAAATCGCCACCCCTACGAAAAGTGAGGGTAGGTAACCAGTTTTGACTTCATGCAAAAGAACGCACATTAATAATTTAAATGACAGTTGGATTTCATCTCTATGGTTTTCCAAATTGTAGGGTTGCCAGAGAGAACTACTTCTTGAAAAAAAAATTTACCTATGTTTTTTATTTTCCCGGCTTATCAACATTCCTAGAAATATAATTTTAAGGTATTTATGTTGTTTTCTGGCAAAGTTCATTCCATACCTGTTAATCTATGCGTTGACGTTCTGTTTTAAATATAATTTATTTTTACATGAAAAACTGTTTTATTGTAAACAGTCCCTAGAGAAAGTTTCAAATAAGTAATTCATAGGATTCTTTAGTTCATTACTAGCCATCCCGGTGAACTTTGTACCGCCTATGTTCATCAGATCTGTTTCTCATGGTGAAAGAATTTTTCAAAATTTCAGAGCCTATTCAGTAAATATGTATTTCCTATTTATAAAATTAGTGTAACATTATAAAACTAATAAGAAGCGAAAATTAGGATTTGTATCTTGTCTTGTGCGATGTGGAAGTCATTGGGGGAGGCCTATGTTCAGCAGTGGACGTCCTGTGGGTGAAATGATGATGATCTTGTCTTGTCTTAATAAGGAAAGGAACAAGGAATTTGTGAATGAAACTCAAATATCCGGAAAGAATGCCTTTATTCTTACAAAAAACTATATTTACAATAGTCGACATCCCTCCCTCGTTTTTCTAAAAAAATAAAATCAGAAAGTACTTCTTTGGGAAAACGTTCGAACAATTTTGAGTGATTTCGTAGCGCCCTCTAGCGGTTATTATGTGAATCCTATGAAAGGGGGGCAATTTTGTACAGTTCGTAAAGCCTGGTCCGTGAGCACGTAGAATTTTGTCCAATGACCCCAAGCTACCGCTCTGCGAGCGCTCGCACACTCACTGCGGGCGCGCGTCGCACAGTCGCGACAGCAATATAATTACGCGCGAGCGATAAGGATGGGTAGCTTGGGGTCATTGGACAAAATTCTACGTCCTCACGGACCAGGCTTTACCAAAACCCATATTCTCAAGTCAATCCTAACAAATCTAGAAAAGATTTAGCGCAAGACAATTAATTGTGCATTATCACTTTTAAATAAGAAACAACTTGGCTTGCACTAATTTTAGGATCAACTAAGAATACGGAGGTTTAGTATTTTATGATAATAAAAGATAATGTTGGCAATTTATGGCGAAATTTGGTGAATTATTGCCACATTTTTAATTTTATATAGGTTATTATAGGGTTCCTAATAACAATTATATTCACTATATTGGATAAAGGGTTAACAAGCTGTTATTAATTCAAAATAAATATAGTTTGAATAATATCCGTTACCTAGAGACGATATCGATTGAATCCAAATTTTCTTAAGTTTTTTAATAATTTAACCAAGATTATGAGGGTAGTTAATTAAATGCTAATGGCTAGAAAAAATGGCTGATGACGTCCAATGAAAAAAATATCAACATAAAAACATATCCCAGTTCGCTGCTTCAAGTAAGTTTAATTATAAATATAAATTTAAAAATAGTTCGTATTTAAAAATTGGTGTTAACTTGACAGTTCCGTAACGCTGTCCTACTCTAACCGTTGAAGAGCGACAAGGAAAGGCCATCGTCTGCCATCACTTCAATAAGACTTAAATACGAATAATTTCTCTTCCTCTAAACGTGCGACTAAAAATTAATGATATGAGCAAACATTACACTGTCTTAAAGGAGTTACTCGCGATATATTTCGTCACTGATGTTACATTAAGGCGTATCTCAACAAGGGCTGTCGTTTTTGTACTCAAGAGTTGGTACCATTACTGGCAAATGAAAGGACCTTAGTACAGTGTGAGTTTACATCAAACGATGTATGAAAATTTTAGTTTCTGAACTTTTCCCGCTAGGGGCGCTGTACAATCCGTCATACATTTAATGTCAATTTTTGCTTACTAGTGAGCGCATTTGATATAAACTCACACTAGGCCCTCTGTAAATATGTGAATTAGGCCAGTGTAGTTAGTCTTCCTACCGCTTCAGTTTGCTAGTTGGGCGCCAGTACGCCACTATGTTAGCCACTAACGAGCGACTTCTGTCTTAGTGTAGGCGCAGACCATCGACTTTTAGTTGGCCGATAGTTGGGACCCGATTCTAATTTGTATGAAAAATCGGCCGATAAAAAATCGGTGTAATGTGCGCACTTTCATACATCTCTATACTAATTAACAGCCCGACCCAACTATCGGCCAGCCAATAATCAGTGGTCTGCGCCACTAGACTTATTCTACAGTGGCGCCAACTGGTGACCGCTAAAAACGATTGCCGTCATTGACCGATTGCGCTGCTTCTCCTCAGCACTGGGCCATATTACTGTCCCGAAGCAGTGGTAGTCAAAAATATTTTTGGGACGCAGGCGCGGATCCAGCCTTCAAAAAAGGTTGTGGGCACAGCCACCAAAAATTTGCAAAGTGAGAGTTGGATCACTACATGCCCGGACATACATACATGCCTATCGATCTAATCAATAGATCATAATTAAAACAAGCAAATTAGGGTTGTGTTGAAAGTGCTCGTTAAACGCATTCTTGGATAGCTTTCAATTTTTTGGAATTTTATGGGTTTTAACTTATAAGATACGCATTTATGTAACGTCTACAGGCTAATAACATAAGACCACACGGCTGCTATATTCGCTGATATACCTAGATGATCCCATTTAAAAGCTATGGATCGTTCAATCCACGAAGTTGCGCCCCACCAATTTTTGGTCGAGAGAAGCGCGGGGTGCGGGGAGTTTGATCCGAGCAATCCGAGCGTCAAACATTAGCGGAAGAATGGTCGCGTCTTCGTGGATGGAACGATCTCTTTTCCGAGGTAATATTACCAAACTACACTCGAGCAATCTAAAAGATTAGTGATGGGTCAAATATTGAAGTGTTAAACTATAGTCAATTAACTCGATATACAGGGTGGAATTTTGTAATGCCACCTGGAGGGAAAGTACTCTTAATATTTTTATTTATTTTATTCGGAAAACCAACAGCAATACAATACAAATAATGGGACCTTAAATTATGTATCTGCTTAGCCATTTATAGTAGGTACATTTATTGTAGATAGAATTTTTTTCTCAAGGAAAACATTCCTTTATTTTTAAAAAGAAATAGAACTGCATTCAAAGATATCCAAAAATTTGCTTACCACACCCGGGATTCGAACCAACTAAAATCTGTTAAAAATTACACCCTGTATTTTTATGCATCGATCGTTAGGGTTAAGTATAAGGAAGAAATCTCTCTAACAAACTTGATAAATCAAATGAAAGGAAAACCATGAATTCTTAAATTATTTTAAGTAGGTACAGGAAATTGTATGATATGGTAGAGAATTTTCGAAAATATAGGAATGTTTTCTTTCAGTAAAATTTTCTATCTACAGTATTAAGAGTACTTTTCCTCCGTGGCATTACAAAATTCCACCCTGTATGCTTAAAATTGAAACAAAATTTGAGGCTCGTTTAGTAATACGGCCCTAAGACTAATTTTGGTCTTGTCAGTAAAAATGAAACGAAAAGATGTGTAAAGAAGAGAAAGAAGATGTAGAATGTAGAAGATAAATGACTCGATTTGTGGTAGTGGTTGTGAAATATCCCCTTTTATTAGAGCTTAGTCTAAAGGCGCGGTCAAATTGAGAGCTACCTAGCTTAGCAAGATCTTCAAGAGTTTAAACAGATAAGTAAATGCAGTATGAGTTCTGATGACATCTCGCATTTAGCTTTATTTGTTGTATAGTTTGAAGTGTAAATACGTTTTGTTTAATGTAGGTACCTGCTACTTATTAGCTTATTTTACAAATTCATTGCTTCTACAGTATTATAAAATTCATGTTTTAAAATATCAAGCTTGCCCTCCCATTCTCAGAGCTTCAAGCACTTATCTTTAAGAAAAACAAGTCATTAAGTGCCTTATCAACTAAAGAATCAGGGACAGATTCGCTTATGCTAAGTTTTCTTAAGGGAAAAAACCGCTCGGTCTACATAGAAAATGAGGGTACTTTCGAGTATTGTGTATCTCTTGGTCTCTTCCTTGTAATTGACTAATGAAAGACCGACTTGGGACTTTATTTGCAATTTCATACAAAATATTGTATAGGAAAAAAATTCTTGCGCCAACAAGAAAGAAAAAAAATTATAAGAGCCGTGTCGAAAATGGCACAACTCAAAAAAGGGGAAAAAACAACATACCTTTTTTATTAGGTGAAGGAAAAAAAGACGCAAAACTGCATACAGTCAGCGTCAAATAATTCGTGACACACAAAATGGCCAAAAACATGATAACACAACCTTATTCCAATTGTAACAAAGACGCATTGCGAACTTTTTGGCTACTTTGGGTATCACGAAGTATTTGACGCTGACAGTACCAATTGTGACTGAACACCACCCTTATCTGCAACGAAATAAGAGCGGTTTTTGCAGTCACAATTGACCAGTCTGGTGTACACATAAAAAATAAATTCAACAGAATAACAACACAATATTATATTGTTCTTAATATATTTATTAATCAGTCTTTCATATGCCAATGTTACAATACAATGAGAGCACAAGCTTTATATTTCAATACAATATAATACATACTATAGTAGCTGTCAAGAAATAATATACATCGACCATACAAAAACAGAAAAACGCCCGAAACGAAAACATTACATATTTTGCCATTTTTTTTTTCTTTGTATTCACGTCAATAAAGATCAACGACAACGGATGACATCTCAAAATCAATTTTGTTTTTTAACAAGGAGAGAAAAATACATAAGAATCTGAATCCAATAATACCTATTTTACCTTAACAGACATATTTTTGATCAAGTTCTTGTAAACAAATAAAAATAAACGACAAATTGTCTTTATAAGATCGATGTTTATCATCTTTTGAAAACTACAGTTTAAAATATTTTGTTGATTACACTCCAAACGATAAATAAAAAATAATGTTTCGGTGATAGTTCTTTCGTTTAGATAAAGTAATGCCTTTTAGATAGATAGAAAGGATAATTTCTCAATCAACCCTAAAACGAGTCTTTCTCAATAGATTGAAAGTCAACATTTAAATTTAAAGAACACGAAACACGACTAACTAGATGTCAATTTTTATATAATTTGAGACCAAAAAGTGCTACATTATTGTTTGAGTGATTAAGAAAACTACTAATATAAAATATTCTCTCTCAACAATTGACAACGTTATTGTTGTTTAAACTTGATCAACACCTGTGGTACTAACTTTAGTCCCTAGTAAAACAGCCTACTTTTTAAGGACGATTTCTGCAATGCATTTTGAACTTTATGTCGTTAATTTAAATGTCAAAATAAATTGCGAAAATTTGGCATTTAAAACTAGTCTGCTAGGTACTCGACCAACAAAATACCACAGATGTACGTCAAATATTATCGATATATTCTATTACCCGTCTAGCTAAAGATTTATTAAAGCACAATTCAATCTCAAATTATAGCCCCCTAAACCATGTACTTAATTTGAATTGAAACAACATAAATATCTCACGTGAACCGATAGAAGCTAGTGATTATGAGGCAAAACGAACACGAATTTTTTTTTTACATAAATATTTAAATTTTTATTTTTATAGTGAAAAACCCTCTAAGTAAATTCATAAACAGACGCATAAACTATCGATAGCTTAGAATATGCTAGACGAACATTTAAGACACGATATACTGCCCAAGTAACCTTTATATATATTAATTTGAACCTTAACGCTTTTTCTTAAGGTCTAAAACATTGTATTTTATTAGACCACACAATGGTTAAAGCCAAAAGCGGTATATTCATTCAGGGCAGTGTGTATTTACGGACATTTCTTCAATTTAACCTTATCAAGAATACTCTATTCATTAAAAACTATTTTTAAACGTATTTATGTCAAAATAGTTGTTAATTGATAGTTGAAAGCATTATGTCAGTCTACGCATATACCAGCTATCCATTGGACTAACATATGGGCGAACTCAATGGTGCCAAATCTGATTCAAGTATTCCTAATAAGTAACGTAAACTAAGAAACTTTTTAAATTTTTTTGAACTTTAAATTATGAAAATATGACTTAAAAACTATTATTTGACTAAAATCCTTAAAAATAAAGTTCTTACACAAAAAATATAGAAACAAAAGCACTAAATAATTTACAGTTTTAAATCCAATAATGTATAATACCATAATGATCTTTATAAAGTCACACAAAAAGTTCATTTTATAGTTTCTCACGTCTAAATCGATTAACCACTAAATAGGAAATGCAAAGAATATAAAAACTATGAATTAATTGTTATATTTAACGTTGGACATTCAACTAAAGTTGGAACCAAGAGTTCACCCATGCCGCGCCTAACAACCACAACATCGTCTAGATAAACAAGGAGATATACTAGAACAGTGCAAAAGGCTATTATTTAGGAAAAAGATCGCGTATTCTGCACATAGAAATTCGAAAGGTGTATTATTTGACTAAAAGGTCGATACATATTAATGTAATATAGACTAGTTTAGCCATTTGATTTTCCATTTCCATCTGCTAGAACCCATTGGCGTGATCTATACTTGTCCACCACAATTTTATCCACAGTAGCGAAACGTTTAGAATAACTCGCTTTTATAATTTCTGTAGCACTAAAAACTTGTCTTAAAATCACTATATCTAACATTTTATAAATTTTCCTAACTACATTATTGCATTGGATTTGTTTTCGTCAGTAACTAGACTATCTAGTGGATAAAATTGTGGGTTATCTGACGACAACATTGCAATATCGCTTATTTTAGTAAGCTTGGTTTTGAAGCTTTGTAAATGGATATCGTGCAATGCTGAACCTGGTTTCTCTTCTAATAATAATTTGATCAAACTTTTACTCGACGATTTGTCTGGTAGGCTTCAGGCAAATACAACGTTTGAGGTTAATTAAAGTATTGCAAATACATTTCTATCGCTTTTTTTTAATGTCTCCTACAATACCTAAATATTTGTTAATTCGTTACATTGCCCGGAAGACCACGTACTTTAATCATGTGATTTTAAAGCTGAATCAAATGTATTAAGAGATGAGAAACTTAGGTTAAGTCGATTTGTATGCATTTAGCTTATCTCCGAAATTAAATATTACGTATACACATATACAACAACATTAGTTTACAACCGTTACATACCTGAGTCGAAACATTATATCACATTTTTTTTCTCATTAAGAAACGTGGCCGTCTATCAGCATCAATTATAGTTATTATACAAAGTTTCTTCAATAAATACATTGACTAAGTTTATAATATTTGTTCGGCGGCGGAATTCTAAAATGGCTTCTATAATTTTCAATAAAGCCCCTGTCTTTACGCGTCACTTGCAGCATGAAACGTTAGATATTTCAAATCCGTACACGCAATTATAGAACGTATTGATAGTGAAAATAGAACACATTTTATGTTGCAAATGACGAAACCGAGCGCTTATTCCATTTCAGATGTATCGGTGCTTTGAACGCTAGCGGACGAATGCAATAACCATATCCCTTCATTTATACAAAATATATACACCCTACGCTATCTTATAATGAACATAACAGACTTGTATTATAACGAAAAGCTACATCTAAATTAAAAGTAATTCTTAATCGTGTGTTAAAAATGAAATCACTTCTGCTACTACTAAGTTTTTTTTTGTTTCCGTCCATCCTCGAAGCATAGCGCTTCAACAATTGTGTCTTGTCAATTTCACTAATAAAAACTAAATCGGTTTTATCAAATAGATAAGATTTATTTTAACGTACAAAAATAACTGTCTTAACACATAACTTTATAGAAACTTAGTTTTTCGTAATTCTTAATCTACATTCGGCTGAATTTTGCAAAAAAGGACCACATTGAAATTGGTCAAAATGGATACATTTTCACCAATTAAGTTATTATAAGTCATTTTTTGCAGAATTAAAATTCAACCATAATATTGACGAGGTCTCAAGCTTTTACTCATTTAATTGAAACAAAATGCTATCTAAATTAAGCCAGGGAGGCTAGCCAGCAAAGACAGGTGACGAAATAACTAACAAATCTATGCTGACGACATATTAACTTACATTAATTACTTAAAAACAATCTCACCACATCAAGTCTTGAAGTAGGGGGTGAACCAATAACGGTATTTTTAATTTTTTACCTATTTAAGTTTTTTTTTGTTTACACATTGTTGGTCCACCGCCTGTGAAGGAAATATACCAATGATATATTCTTCGTTGTTCAGTTTTGTCTATCTATTTTGATCTAAAATACTGTTTTATTAATTTATTTTACCTAAATTTTAATGGATCTGGAATTGGATATTTTTTACAAGGAAGATTGTGTGTAAATATTTATATTATTTTATAGTGTTAAGTTTTGTATAGGAATTAGTATATTTTTAGTTATTATTATAGAAGAATTTAAAAAAAGTACTCGTGAAGTAAATAAAATGCAGAACATAGCTTAACATACTATTTTAATGCTATTCTCTCATTTGGTTTCGATCCAAAAACATAAAAATCAACTAAAGACTGTCCCTTGCAGCGGTTGATATTGAACAAATATATATTTTAAAAAACTAAATGAAAACTTCTTACAACTAACTTAAAGATGTTACTAGAAACTATATCGATATTTTTTTTTTATTTGACCCGTATGACAGTTCAATTATGTTCAATGACCAATAACTTGCAAGAAACATCCTACGTGTGGTCATAATGAATTAAATATATCATTGATATATATATTATTAGACAAGCGCTTAAAAGGGAACACTCACGCTTGACCAAGTTAAAAAATATAAAATAACTCGACCAATTGAACAGCATGGTTTTGTCAAACTGATCGTGTGTATACAATTGATCAGTGTCAGAAAAAAATCGCTTGATCATGTGTATATGTCTAGGTTTTAAATTGGTCAATCGTGTGCCCTTAGGGTAGGGCGTCGGTAGCCTTTTGTTAAGTAGCTAGCGTCCTGCACCTTGCCTCCGCGATTTCACACAACCTTAGTCCGGTTTTGGCTCTAATATTTATAAGCTAACATCAGCTTTGTATCAATCCGGCGTGTTCCCACTTAGTCATTTCGACACATAGCTTTTGTATACGCCAAATATTAACCAAGTCATCATTAAGGCTGTTATATAATTTAGGTTAAATAATTTTGACATGATCGATGACTTGGTTTTTTCAGTTGAATTTAGCGTTACTACATTTCTATCTCTACAAGGTGCAATGGAGAGGTTGACAATTACACAGAGAACTTAAAACTTAATATAATATTATTTTATAATTACTTTATATTCTTCAATATCATATAACTTTTGTAGGCAGTGTTACATTATTATCTGTATCTATAATAATATAAAATATATTGTTTTTTAGAATTTTAGCTTGTTCACAACTAGGATACACGGTTTGAAATCACTGTTTTAGTTGTTGTCAACCTATTCCGTGCACTATTATGCACGTGCACACGTTGATATGCCTACACAGGGCTTCAGCTAATGCACACCGATTTGCACTCAATTTTCCACATAAATGCATTGCACTATAATTCTCAGTCGAAAGCGCTTAACATACATTTATAATTTTAAATTCATTAATTACTAAAATTTTTATTGCTTACGACATCCAGCGAACCGTACATTAAACCGATTTATTGCACACCTAACGTGATAATTTAATATTAATAAAATCAGCGACATCTATATCTAAAATATATACATCCAATTATACACACGGCCGTCGATTAGAGCCAAAACCGGACTAGATGGGGGGAATAAAAAACAAAAAAATAACAAGTGGAAAAAAAACCGTTATTACACTATGCTAGTGAGGTCCGTAAGATCCGGAGGAACGTCGACACACGAGACGCTATTACCGCCGCTGTTGTCGTCATGACGTCACTTCTCCGTTGGCTCGACCACCTGAAAAGCGAGCGACGGTCAGACGCGCAGTGTGTCGTCGTTCCTATGAGGCTGCCAGGGCTTGCGTGGCGGGGGTTCGATGATCGTTACGGTCAGCGTTAAACGTTGTCAAATTTTGTTGCAATTGTAATAAATGACATACTTTCTGACTGAAAAAACTGTACTGTGTTGCCGAAACATTCTACACTAATGATAAACCAGTTAATTTGACAACGATTAATGATAGCACTTTTAGGCAATATTATCACCAACGAATTTGAGTCAACATGTCAATGAGATTTCGTAGAAACGCTTCCAATCGCTTGAAAGTGTTACCAAAAATCTCATAACTATTTCAACAAAAATAATTGGTGATACGAAAAATTTTATGCGTTCGAATGAGATGGAAATACAAACGTTTTTTCGAGTACCACCGCCGCGCGTTAAATGTATTTTGCTACTCTGATCGGTATTTAGTTCAAAACTAATAATTTTAATTAGTAAAAAAGTGTTATCAGTCTACACACGACTGATCATGGCAGTATACAACTGAACAATATTTTGATCAAATGTATACATTTTTTTTTGGAAAAAAAAAACCTTTTTTGCGATCGGAATAGCAAATTTTCCCACCCGCCACCAGGGTATTTTTTAAGCAAGAAAGACCCAGCATAATGTGCGTCCCGTTTAGTTCCAGTTAGTGTTGTTCGGAACGACTGAGCCCCACAGGTCACGATGTACACAGCTGCGCGCAAGCTTATATTTAGCTGTTACATTCAAGTACACAATAAGACATTGAGAAATACATTTAAAATAAAGGAAACATCAGTGAAGAGAATTAAACTGCTTGTGTTTTGATTTTAAAATAAAAAAGAATAGGTAAGTCACATTACCTTGTAATTAGCTTTAGATTGGCTTTGACCAATCAGTATTTGCCAAATGTAAATTCAAATTTAAAAGCTTTTGATATTTTTTATTTTTTTAAATACTGGCCATTTTTATATTTAACAATACACAAGCAGTTTATAGATAAAAACAACGTTGAAAAGAAAATCAAAATTAAAACGAACATTGCAAACTTCAACATAACAGCCAAAATAAATGTGAAAAAAAAAACAGTGCTCGGACTCACAAAACTAGTGTGTCAGAAGCAACATTATTGACATGCAAAAAATGAGTTCGAATCCAAAAGATGTATACAGAAAATATATACAACTTAACAAGTGTATACATCTTTTTTCCCCAGATTCAAATTACATAGAACTACAATTCAATATGACTTGATTATCGAAAGTAAGACTGAAATAATCGGCCTATTACCTTGTGTTTCTATGTAACTAACACACATCAAATACCAGTTTCTATGAGCAATTTCTTTTAAAATTGGTTATAGAAGACAAGAAAAAATCACCGTTAATTGAAAAACACAATTTTTAAACCAACCGCCGCCGTTTGATATTGTAAAACCTTTTTGTAGCACATGTGTATACGATAAAATGGATCTAGAATACAATTTATATGTAATAAAACAAAGTCAAACTAAGTACGAAATCATCATCAATTTAATAAAAAATTCTTAAATAAAAAACAATTCCGAAGTTTTCCAATTTAAAAATATTATACGATTTAAATTATTCTAACTTAAATAATATGAAATTCGTAACAATAATCTCAAACTTAATGCAATAAAATGTACAATATTGATCTACAAGTTAATACATTATTTTTTATATTTTAAAAACAAATTATAGATTGACAATAAATTGCAATTATTTACTTTTAATTACTAAATAAAGTCGTGAATTTTAACGTAATAGCATCTCATAATGTTTTAAACTTGTAGTGTACAACATAAAAATAACAAAACTACATTTTTACTAAAGTAATTATTAAGTTTTTTTAAGTACAATCGTACATTCAGAAAATGTATCAAAAAATAAACACTAACGTTAACATTTATATATTTTTTTATTCGTTTCTACAGTATAATGGTAACAACAATGGCACCACTAATATAAGATTTAATAGTTATAATATTATTTACACTATGTACAAAAACAATTTTGAGACAAAAAAAGTTATGATTTTTTTCTCATTTTGTATACAACTCTTTAGCTCTGCACGTATAAAGTATTACAAAAGACACTAACAACAAATCTACGTATAAAAATACACTATTATGTTTAAAGAAAACGGTCCAATTAAACCGGTGAACATACAAAATTGGCTTTGAAAAGACTAACTCAAGGAACATTATTTCGATAAAGACCCTGTGTGTGTATTTTTTTTTCTTTTTTTTTTCTTTTTGAGCAAGCCTTAATTAAATTATAATATTTTTATGTACACTTATACAATAAATTGAACATTTTAGCAGGTCCGTGATTTATATACGTAACTAAGTTTAAATAAGAGTTAAAGCTGACGTGGTAATGTATTTTTAAAATCAACTAGTCAACAACCGCCAAGCCATTTAGTGAAAATATTAATTAATGTTTATTCGACGCATTTATGCGAAAAAAGAGCAGTTCACTGTTGTTTTTATGTAAATTATTTGCTTTAGACTTTGTCCAACCAAGAAAAAAACTATGCAACGAAATTATAACATAAATGCATTTGATTCTTTTATGCGAATAGGTACTCGAGACTAATATTTTATTATAAATATTTCTTAATATAATAATAAATGAGATGGAATGTCATAAATATACATATTTTTGATTAGGGTATATAATAGTATAGTCATTATTGTTAGTGATGTACGATTTACGATACTCGCATATAATAAGAGATTAAATATAGTGAAATAAACATTCACAAACCTTTTTTCTTTTTTTGTATATAGGTGCCTAATCGTAAGAATTTAAAGCATATTTATATAAATATTTCTTAACATTAGTAAACTTTCACATTTTAGGCCGAAACAACATTGAGAATGAATTTTTATATTTTTTAATTCAAGAAGAAAAGTTTGTATACACAGGTAAAAAGTGTATACACAACTATAAAATGACATTACATTAGGTACCTTAAATATAACATATGTGATAGTTTTAATAAGTGATATATGCTTGGCACTCAATAATAATGAAGTATTTATAAAACACTATTTATAAAAGATTTTTGCTTATTAAATGATTTGTGTGAAAAAAGAAACGTCACACGTTTAATATAGTTTGATTGTGTAAATATTTAGGTATACGTGTAGCAAATAGTAATTAGTAGTAGGTCAACCAACCTACAAAAATACGAATTTCTTTTTCTTTGAAAGCTCAAACCAATTGAGGTATTATTATATTATTATTGTGGTAGACTGATGTATATCTTATATGATATTATTTAAATTTTCTGATACATATAAAAAACCTGTGGCAGTTTTTTAATATAATATAGTTCTTAGCTTTAATTTATATAATAAGCATGTTTTTTAGCTTAATATAGAGCTCAAAATATACATTTTTATATCTAACGTAAAAAAATATATACAAGCACCAAATGATTGCAAATTAAGTAACCCATAGCAGCCTTGGGGGCGTATTTTTGAAACATAAATTCGCCCAGTTCGCATACGATTTGCTAAATAAAAATACAATGCAATGAGTACTCAAACCCACTTGTGTTTCAGTTTCTAATATAAATTATGATATACCGATGACTTTGTTAGAACTACTATTATGAAACCAAATGTATTTTTAGAGTGTAAAAGAACAAGATTCGATTAGAATGTTTCAAAAATACGTACCCTGGATTAATACATTTTGGTAAAAATATAATGTACTAATAAATATATTTGTATATTGCAATATTGTATATATTGTTTACATCGCTGCCGTTTTTCAAAGGCATTGGGCGAGAACTATGAGTTAAAATATGAGTCGCCCAAAATACATATAATTTATAATAATGTTATTTTTTACAATGTATAATAATATAAAAATACACATTAGACGACAATTTTGAACTAAATCCACATTGCTATGTTGAATTCTCAAGCAGGGCGATTTTATAAGACCGCGAATAGGCCGAAAAAAGCACCGTATGCCCAAATTAAGTACCAATATGAACATATTTTTAGCCTAGAAAGAAAGCTATGCTATTACGGTAAACACATAAGCGATAGTGACTTTATTAAATATTGGATATGAAACACGACTTTGTATACAACTGGTATATCAAGTAAAAAAATATGAAAATGCATTAAAAACTATGTAGTATATACATTTTCAGTAAACTGATACAAAATAGTCGAGCTATTTTTAATGTGATGTTCATTGTAAAGCGCACCGCTGCATGTATATTCAAATATATTCTCAAAAGTATTACTATTTATGTATTGTATACAATTTCAGAAAAACTGTCACTACAATCCTCTACATAAAATATGATATCGAGTTCTCCAACTGTGTAACTTTTCAAAAATAGACAAGCTCAACTTTCTATACATATAAGATTTGAAGTAACAATGAAATGTGCATTTAGCTACGATAATAAAATCCTTAGGCTCTTTATTTTCAGTCGCAAATTCTTAGTTCTTAGCAAAACTTTACCAACTTTTCCTCTCAATCATAGGTGTAATATTAGCTATAGAAAAATATACAGTAACAGCAAATTATTTTTTCTCTTTCTCGTTCAATCAAAACAGTTCTTTTAAGATTCTTAGAGGGTGCAATTGTCTAAAAACAAAATTGAACATTATTGCACATAGATATTAGATCCGTATTACAAAACAATACTTAAATCTCGAATTGATCTAAATATTGAAATTCAATTTAACCAATCAAAAACCTCAATTTTTGGTTGAAACTGAGTCAAGTTTTAGCTTCGTTCTGTAATACTATGGATACCACGCCTATAAATTCAAGAGGAAAAGTCAGCAATCAATCTAGTTTATTCCGGCGGCGGCGGCGGAACCGGCGGCGGCGGCATCGCCGGCAGCGGCGGCTGGCTTTGCTGCGGCGGCGGCTGCGGCACTTGCGGCCTCTGCTGGTACATGTAATCCATGCCGCCGGCGTAGTAAAACCCGTCCATACCCATACCGAAATACAAAGGCGGCGGTGGCTGCACCATAAAATACGGTAACGGGGCCCTATAAGGGGGGGGTACATTCCAATTGCCTACCTTTGGGAGGGGCGCTCCGTTCTGCCGAGGCACCTTCGGGGGCGGTCCGGGTTCGCCGTTCCCGCTACGCTTCCTCGACGTTTCGAGAACTTCTTTAGAAATCTTGATTTTGAGTCCCGAAGACTGCGGCGGCGGCGGCGGGGCGGCCAGCCTCTCTTTCGGGATCTTGATCTTGAGTCCCGGACTCCGGGACAGTTTGTCCCGGGGTATCGTTATCCTGAGCGTCCCGTCTGACGGCGGCTCCGGTACAGGCGCGGGACTTTTCTTCTTTTCTCTGTCCTTGTCCTTTTTGTGTTTCTTTCTCTCTTCTTTATCTTTGCTTTTGTCTTTATCTTTGTGTTTGTGTTTGTCTTTCTTTTTCTTATCTTTCTTAGGCTTGTGTTCTACTTCTACGTTTTGGGGGGCGGGGGGAGGTATTTCTGGTTGCGGCGGCGGCGGGAGGGGCGCGGGCGGTTCGACGACCTCCTTTTTGATTTCGGGCGACTTTTTCTCTGTGGCCACAGTAATAGGGGCGGGTTTCGCCAGGCTTTCTTTGAGCAAGTTCGAAACTAACGTCGGATCTGTTTCTATGCCGTTCATGGCTCGGGTCGGCTCCGGTTTTCTTTCGGGCGCCTTCGTCCGGATGGCGTTGCCTCGCTGCGAGTCTCTGATGACGTTTTCGTAGCCCGGAGTCTCGTCTAGTTTTTTGACAACAGGCACCAATTCAGGTTCGGAGTTGGACTGAGCTCTCTGCCTCGGTTTTTGTTCTTTAGAAGGAGGGGAGTTGAACGGGGAAAGAATGGCGGGCGGTTGCAAGTCTCGCAACGCGAGGGAAGGATCCGGTCTTTTTTTGGGACTGGGAGGTTTCTGTTCAGGTTGGACAGGGGTGGGTTGTGGTATTTGGGGGGCGGGGGCGGCAGTAGGGGGGTTCGGCCTGATTTCTGGCTTAGGTCTGTGAGGGGGTGGGATTTGGGGTCGTCTAGGCGCGGTGGCGGCTGCGATAGGGGTTGTTGCGTTTTCTGGAGAGAACAACGAAGGGGGTCGCGTCCTTTGAGGTGGTTCTGTGGGTTGTTGGGGGAGATTTTGTGGGGGGTTGGAGGTGCCAGGAGTGGGTACAGGCGGTCTGTGGTGTCTGTGATCGTTTGTATGTGGGGGTTTCGCGTGGTGTGGTGGTTTGGCGTGGTGGGGCCAGGCGTGGTGTGGTTTGTGGTGTTGGGTGGGTGGTCTATGGTGGGGTGGTGGTTGGGCTGGCCTGGGTTGCGTGGGGGGTCGTTGTGCGAGCTGCCTGCGGTCCCTCTCCTCGCGCCTCTCCCGTTCCTCTCTCCTCTCCCGGTATAGGTTGTAATCTATCTTCTGGGGGGCAGACGCGGCTGGCGCGGCAGGTGTGGTGGCTGGCACATAGCCGCCCGGGACGGGTTGCCGGCGCCTTTCGCGCTCGTATTCTGCGGAGGAAATTAAACTTTAACACAAGGAAATACAGAACAGATTAGAGGAAACACAGAGCAGATAGGCAACGCATTTTGCGCTCATATTCTACGGTAGAAATTGAATTCCTATTGAATTTTCTTCCATAACCCTTAAATGAGATAACACATCCACACGGTTACTGCCACATCTTGATCCTCATTATTACTTCAGAATCAAAAACAACTTAGGGTGATGCCCGTTTTCACCATCAATCCCTAATTTTTAAGTGACCCCTATGGTAACACATTACAGGAATTTAGTTTTCACAAGGGTCACTTAAAAATTAGGGATTGATGGTGAAAATGGGCAAGAGATTCTTAGGTATATCAAACAAAATATTAAGCATACACTAAAAAACAACCCACATTATTAACTGTATTATGAATGGATTTGTCTATCAAATGCCAAATGCATATTCAAATTCAAAGATTTTTTACCTACAAGTTATTTTGCGACTTATAAAAATCTCTCCTTCCTCAACACATAAATGGTTAGTTGAATTATAGTTCCTACCATTACATAAATCTTATTTCTCAGTGTATTCGTTAAAGTGAAAAAAATGTTAAGGCGTATCTTATTTTCACATACACATACACTTTAATTTTTTATTTATTTGACACATTATTTTTGTTTTCATTATTTATTTTTCTTACCCAACCTTTTTTTACATACTCATTTTGTTTTCCGTGTCTTTTTCTTTCTTGTTATTTTTCTTTTCTCGGACTTTTTTTTATATTTACGTTATTTTTCTTGTTTTTTTATTATTAACATTTTATATTATTTATTGTATATTTCTCTTACCTTTATCAAATGACTTGTCGAAATCGTCGCTCATAGACGGCGGCGATGCGAGTTTCTTATTTCCCTATTTATTTTTCAACTTTTTACATAATTTTACCTTATATTTCGCCTTTTTTACATAGTAATTTATATTTTTTATTTTTTTTTACATAATTATCTTACTTTCCGTGTCTTTTTACCTTTTTATACTATTTATTGTATATTTCTCTTACCTTTATCAAAGGACTTGTCGAAATCATCGCTCATAGACGGCGGAGACGCTTATTTTTTTTTTTACATGATTTTTCATCAATGTTTTTTCTCGTTTTTTTTTTCAAACTTATTTTTAATTTACGTTTATTTATTATGTTTATCTTACCTTTATCAAAGGACTTGTCGAAGTCGTCGCTCATAGACGGCGGCGGCGCGTGTTTCTTGTCGCCCGACGAGCTACCCGCGTGGACAGCGTTGGAGTGCGGCGAACTGCCGCCTGTGGAGAGAGAGACGTTATAGCTGGGTTCGATTCCCGAGTGTGGCATGAACAGTGAAAAATCACCTTGGTATTATAAAGTACGGCCAACGAGAAGCGATACCAAATGTAAACAAACCCAATGTCATGGGTGAACCCGTCTGACTTTGACATATTTTGGCGGGAGAACGAGACATTACGACATATACACAAGATGGGATGAGACAGAATATATTGTCAACTCGACAGTCGTATCGACCTTTTGTATCGCTGCTAGTTGGCCGTACTTTAGAATTCAAACAAAAATGCAAATTAAGGCTTCCTCAGCCGCTGGGATGGGGAGTGCAGGCCAAATCCTTCAATTGTAGCAAGTATAATACTATTTTTATGAACATTTTATAAAGAAAACTACATAAAAATTCATTTTTTTGCATTAGCATCAAAATAAAGACTGTAATGCAATGGAGACTAAATGAGCGTGATGATGATTCAATTTCTGTCAAAATTAAGCATTGTCAAAAAAATTAAAAGAAGTCTTTTTTTCATAAATCCTCTTTTCTTTGGGCCTCACCAGCGCTTCGAAACAAATAAAATATGACTGAGAGTGAGAAGGCGCCGGAATAATTTTAACTTTAAAGTAATATAAAAATAACATTTTGGGGCGCCATGTTTGTTACCAAATCGTTTTGAACTTTATCGCCCTATCTTAAGGATCAAAATGCAACAAAAAATACTTGCGTAAAACTGATCTACATAAGTAATAAACTACTTACTATTGTTGGTCATGGACATCATCTTTCGTTTCAGTCTAGATGGGCACTTGTCGAATATATGCAGGAACTCTGCGGTCAGCCGCTCCAGTAGTTCTGTGGTTACATTCCGGTCCACATAGGAAAACCAGTGCCGGCCTTCGTTCGACTGAGGAATCTGAAAGAAATTAGCTTTTAATGCCAAGGCATAAGGTTTAAAATTAGGTGTCAGTGGCTAACTAAAGGTAGCCTTTCGAACTAAGCGTCACAGACGCAGCGTCTTTAGCTTAGGTTTTAAAGGTTCTAAAGCTGAAGACGCTGCGTCTGTGACGCTTAGTTCAAAAGGATAATCGCTTCCAAAGGCTACCTTTAAGACCAAAGCTAAAGACGCTGGGTCTATGACGCTTAGTTCGAAAGGCTAATCGCTTCCAAAGGCTACCTTTAAGACCAAAGCTAAAGACGCTGCGTCTGTGACGCTTAGTTCGAAAGGCTAATCGCTTCCAAAGGCTACCTTTAAGACCAAAGCTAAAGACGCTGCGTCTGTGACGCTTAGTTCGAAAGGCTAATCGCTTCCAAAGGCTACCTTTAAGACCAAAGCTAAAGACGCTGCGTCTGTGACGCTTAGTTCGAAAGGCTAATCGCTTCCAAAGGCTACCTTTAAGACCAAAGCTAAAGACGCTGCGTCTGTGACGCTTAGTTCGAAAGGCTAATCGCTTCCAAAGGCTACCTTTAAGACCAAAGCTAAAGACGCTGCGTCTGTGACGCTTAGTTCGAAAGGCTAATCGCTTCCAAAGGCTACCTTTAAGACCAAAGCTAAAGACGCTGCGTCTGTGACGCTTAGTTCGAAAGGCTAATCGCTTCCAAAGGCTACCTTTAAGACCAAAGCTAAAGACGCTGCGTCTGTGACGCTTAGTTCGAAAGGCTAATCGCTTCCAAAGGCTACCTTTAAGACCAAAGCTAAAGACGCTGCGTCTGTGACGCTTAGTTCGAAAGGCTAATCGCTTCCAAAGGCTACCTTTAAGACCAAAGCTAAAGACGCTGCGTCTGTGACGCTTAGTTCGAAAGGCTAATCGCTTCCAAAGGCTACCTTTAAGACCAAAGCTAAAGACGCTGCGTCTGTGACGCTTAGTTCGAAAGGCTAATCGCTTCCAAAGGCTACCTTTAAGACCAAAGCTAAAGACGCTGCGTTTGTGACGCTTAGTTCGAAAGGCTAATCGCTTCCAAAGCCTACCTTTAAGACCAAAGCTAAAGACGCTGCGTCTGTGACGCTTAGTTCGAAAGGCTACCTTTAAAGGCTTGATTTACACGTATTAAGTAGTTAACTAAATTTTAGGTAAGGCAATGTAATGGATGTCAGAGAAAAGTCGCTCTTAACACTGAGGCAAAAGGTTCAATTTAGAGGTTATGATGAGTGAATCGTATGACATAGGGTGGTCACGTAATTATTATTAAAATGTCAGAGGATATACTCTCTTAACACTGTGGGATAAGGTGCATTTTATAGTAGCTAAATAAATATTAGAAGAACAAAAGATCTGTGGTCACGTTAGTGGTTAGCTAAATCTTTTTGGATGTCAGAGGAAACTCGCTCTTAATACTGAGGCGTAAGGTTCATATTATAACAGTAAATGGATTAATTGTGGTTCCCTGAGGTTGTAGATTCCTGAGGTAGGGTAAAGCCACCTGTTGGCGTCCACTCAAAAAACTACTGAGCTAGAGTAGTCACCTATTTTCGTCCACTTAAAAAACTACTGAGCTAGGGTAAAGTCACCAATTTTCGTCCACTTAAAAAATAATAAAAAATATATAAAAAAAGTGCGTAATTACATCAAAACTCACCGCCCAATTACTCCACTTGGACGCGAGATGTATGCAGAAGCACGCGACCACAGTCGGTCGCTATTGAAGGCACATCGTCGTCAAGTGGAGGATGTTCGATGCCATGAAGGCAACTAAAATGCACCTTACGCCTCGAGTGTTAAGAGCGACATTCCTTTGAATTGAAACCGTGACAGACGGATTTAACATTGATAGAATCGCATTATCGAAAAAGCCACATGTGGCTTGCGAGCTAGAGGTTGTCAACTCCTGAGATAGGGTAAAGTCACCTATTTGCGTCCAACCAAAAAATTACTCAGCTAGGGTAAAGTCACCAATTTTCGTCCACTTAAAAAATAATAAAAAATATATAAAAAAAGTGCGTAATTACATCAAAACTCACCGCCCAATTACTCCACTTGGACGCGAGATGTATGCAGAAGCACGCGACCACAGTGGGTCGGTATTGAAGGCACATCGTCGTCAAATGGAGGCTGTTCGATGCCATAAAGTACGACGTCTGGGCAAGGTCTTTGGGCGCTGCAACGGAAGGGGGCGTTTAGTGGTTAATAGTAGTAAAAGGGGAGGATGGAGGGATGGGGGATGATAGGGGCATTGTGATCATGCTTTAGAATAACAGTGTAACCTAGATATAATATTATACGCGCTGAGAGAAACTAAGAATTGTGTGAATGGCTGAAATAAAACTCAAAGATGTAACTGTCTCTATAACCTAAAAAAATCACTTCACTGTAAAATAAATGTGCTCAAATAGACTTTATTTGCTAGAAAAAAATATGAATTGATGATAAAAGTTAGAATTTTTTAAAGATTATTGTTAATATTTTTTAACAGTGAATTACACGAGAACAGTGCAACTACCCTATTATTACTAGATCTCATTATTTAACCAAAAATAAAGTTTTTCTCATACAATCTAAGTTACACTGTAATAATTTGGTACAATACAATGCCACAATCGAATATTAAGCTTTTTTTTTTGTATCAAAATGTAGTATGCGCTCTTAATTAATTACTAAGGTGATTAGTGATATATTAATATGACTGGTCTGGCAAGCTACGCGACATAAATGCATTATTAAATGTCCATTAAATGTCTATTAAAAAATTAACAAAAGACCAGAAATACTTAATTGATTTATGAAATGTGTTTTCTTTCTTACTGCACCTAAGTGACCTGAGTTAAATTATATTGTAACTGTATTTTTCCCAAAAATAAATAAACAAATAAATAAAAAATAATAAATAGTGTTTCTATTCAAAAATTTAAACTGGCAACATCGAATCGTCGCACTTATGTCGCGTCGCAATCGCGTCAGCTGCCAGTCGCTTTATTTTTAACAGATATAAATTAAATATATTTTTTAACAGTTCTTAATGAAATATTAAATAGATTTCATTTTTGAAAATTATTCGTGTGCATTGTCGGGGAATAAAGTCTATTTTTTTAAAGAAATAATAATTTATATTACGTACAAAGTACTTACTATAATAAAATAAATAATTGGGCGGATATTATAGTTTAAAATACTTTATATTGGTGTTGACGTAAAATAAAATTACATTCGGCATCAGTAAATATTGTGTAATGCCTTTGAACGTAATTTATTGCAATTTTTATACTCTTTACATGGATATATTATTATACCTGTACAAATAATATACAGGGCAACTTTAAAATCAATTTCCAATTATAAATTGTAGTTTAAAAGGTTTTTTATTACCAATTTCCACATAATACTTTTTAATAGTTTATTTATTGGTAGGTGTTTTTAAAGTAAATAAGTACATTGCACATAACATAACGTCAAAACGAAGAAAATGTGACACTCCTAACACCAACGGTACACTTATTACCCAGGACATAACCCTTTTTTTATACTATAATTCGCAATATATCTCACAGAAAAAAAAATATCTCACAGAAAAATATGTCTCGCAAAAAAATCCTGTTACATAAATACAGAGCGTAAGAAAAACGGCCGAACGACATGAGAGGAGGCGAAAGTGTCACAACTTTCTCTTTTCGAGATTTCGAAGTCGATGAAATGCCTTCAGCCGTTGAACAGACTGTATTGTGTAATGCCCCGTTCATTTATTCGGAAACGATATTGTTTTTATTATAAACGATATAACTTTGTCATATTTTGCATGGAATAAATGTCGTATTTATCCATATGAGGCAAAATGAGTCATTTTTTGCATGGAATAATGTTGTATTTATCCATCTTTGGGTAAAATGAATCGTTTTTGAAATGTAAAGTCAATTTTTGGAATGAATAAATTATTTACAATGACTCCGTTAAGAAATGGACTTTAAATCTGTTATTAGGTATTTGAAATACATTCGTCCAACACAAGAAGGTATATAAGCCATATTCGGGCCAAATACGTGTCCCAAATATAGTTTACCAAAATACTCGTATAGTATTTAATTAATCACTACCTCAGAAGTTAAGAAGTTTCTGAAGAAACTCAGTGACCTTCTTGTAAATAAAAAACCCGACTATACCCACTTGATCCAAATCTGTGTCTACTTCAAAAATAAAAAAATATCTTAAAAGTACATTTTAAGCAAAAAAAAAGGTTTTTAACGCAATATTCGGACCATTTTTCTTACATCCTGTATTTTACCTACAGAATAGACTTTTTACCCCAACTCGACAAGCAATGCTAGGAAAATGACTGTGAAAGGAGATGACACACAGGTTTTTATAGATTTTTTACATACCTTAAGCTTTACTTGAGCATATACATAGCCTGGTGTTATTTTATGGGGGAAGACCGCTTACGGCCAGTTCTGTGCGGTTGTGAAGACGACTGTAGGCTTTTTGTTTTAATTTTGCAAACAAAATTCGGTTTGAGCTGCATTTAGTGCTATTTTTTTACGTCAACGTAAGGCTTTTTGAAAGGCAGGATTTTTTTTTTATAATAATATTGAGAAATGTTTGATTTATTTTTTTGATTAATTAAAAAGCTGTCTTGCTAATATGCCTTTTCTTGTTTTAGTAATAAATAAATACATAGTGTATTGTAATAACTATGTGTCAATGAATTATTATTTTTTTCAATTAATTTAATAACTACTAGTTAACATAACAGACTTGAAGCATGTAATAAAAATAATAAAAAAACTTAATATTTTTTTGGGTAACCTATTATTTTTTTAACACTGGCCATTATGCAACCCAAACTTTAAAAACCACAGTACACCTTCAACCAACTGCCGCATTTAAAAACCGAACCCGCCTCCCGCATGCGTAACATAAATCTGCTCCGAGCGTGTTTTGGCGCCGCAACGAGATATTTTGTCACAGTCACGCGATATTTATCACTGTCACGTGATACTTATCACGGTCACGTGATATCTATCGCTACGCCGTATCACGCATGTCTCACCTTTGACAAGGTGACACGTGCGAACAACATGCGTGTGTGGGTGATCAATGGCGACATCGAACCCTAATGTTTGTAGGAGAACGTTCTCGTTGAATACGAGGTCTTGAGCCTGGAAAGAAATCACAGTGACAAAATTGCAACTAGATTAGGTACAAAAATCATTGTCGGTGTTTTCCCCCTTTTACTAGAGATGGTGCTAAAGTCTGGTCGCCGAACACGTAGAATTTCGTCCAATGACCCCAAGCTACCCATTCTTATCGCTCGCGCGTAATTATATTTGAATAAAATTCTACGTGCTCGGCGACCGGACTTGGGCTAAGATGCGCGTCACGAACTCACGATATAGGTTTATATAGGCATTTTATCGATTTTAGACGATAAACCCATACATTTGTCGTCCAATATCGTCGATAAGATTTTTATCGTGCGGCGATTCCCAGGCCTGACTGGACATAAACAAATGACGATCGTTTTACTGGTCTCTAGTGATGTACAACCGTCCTAAGCGCCCCCACACCGTGACGGGATATATCATAGATCACTCACCTGTTCTTGGTACTGTTCGGTCGTGATCGACTGACTGACACCCTCACCTCTGTGGAGGCAGACGTGGGCCACCTTTATTACGTATTCTAGTTTCCTTGGCTGTTCTTCGACCTGTTGGAAATTATATTTGTTTAGATAATTTGCCAAAACATACAAATATTTACCTGGAAATTAAATATTGGAAAAAAAACACTATCTAAAATATGGTGGGAACTATATTCCCACTGCCGTGTAAAGATTTGAGACCAATCACAGAATCTATGAGACTGAATTGAGTTTTCAACGTTTTGTATTACGGATGTTAGTATATCATCCAAGTCTCTGACCGAATTAAGGTCGTTTGAGATGCTAATTCAAGATATAAACATGGCATGACTTGAATATTATTATATTCTTGCTAATTTCGAAGGATACTTTGAAAAATAAAACTGTAATGTTATTTTTTGAAGGCCAGATTTAAAATATTTTAATCAACAATGACTAAAATCAGTAAAATGCGTTTTTATATTCCTTACTACGATTTTTACAGTTATTTTTAGATTACTTTACATTTTACTGATGTTACTACGGTTAAATTGCCACTAGAGAGAAACCGAATAAACACAATACAACTACTGAATGTACACTAAAATTGTTTTATTTTTTACGTTTACTCTTTATACGTTAATTTTGCCACTGTAATTTCAACCCTATTCACTGATCATAAGGAAAAAAATTAATGAAAATTTGTAACTTGTGCCGTATAATCATTTCAGCCTTAAGACATCTACTGCTGAACATAGGCCTCCCCCAATAATTTCCATAATGACTGGTTAATAGCGGCCTGCATCCAGCGCCTTCCTACCTTTATGAGATCGTCGGTCCACCTTGTGGGTGGACGTCCTACGCTACGCTTTCCGGTGTCATATAAGGTAAATAAATAAGTATAAATATTATTATACATACCTTGGCGGCGAGGAACAGGGCTGCAGCAGCAATGGCATTCCTGTGGAACTGTGTGAACGAGTGAAACGCATAGAACCGGTGCATGTAAACAATGGCAGTGTTGATGCATAGTTGAGACCTGTGATATCTTGGGTTAAGGAAACATTGTCAGAGAATACCATGAAGAATAAAATAATAATCAGTGAAATATTTTTTGGTGCAAATAAAAAAAATGTGTCGTTATTGATTTAACCCTTAGCCAGGCCAGAGTAAATACAAATGAGTAAGTCATCTTCATAAAAACGCACGGCAAACGAATTCGGCGCAACTCCCCGCTAAATTTTGTCAGTCTGTGCGTGCGCGCCGCATACGTATTGGCGCGCTCACATACAAACCGCGCTCGGGCGTTTATATGAAGATGACCTACTCATTTGTATTTACTCTGGCCAGGCTCGAAAAAAGTCATTGGTTTTCAACCGTATCTTCACAGCATAAAGTTCAAATTGATGTCAGCTCTGTGGCCACCCGAGCCTGGTTAAGGGTTAAGTATTGCCCACCTAATACAAGTTTAACAAGCAACATTTAAATTACATCATATTTTTATATGTTGAATAATTAAGTATGTGCAGTGGAATTCAATAAACGTAGTGCCAGCTGTTTGAATATACAACAGGACTTTTAGTTCGCTATACCTTTTGATCCGTTAATTTACTTTATTCTTTGCTTGCTTGCTATGTAACTTCGAAGTATGAAAATTACATAGCACTTGCCTAACTCAACATAAAGATAGTGTAGTGTTTCTAGTGTTCCTTTTAGCCTAGAATTTCTCTTTCAAATCAGAAATGCATATCGTTGAAAAAATCTAAGGTTTGACATCAAGACCCTGTAGACCACAGACTTTAAGTCGGCTGATAGTTGGGCCCGATCCCCATTTGTATGAAGAATCGGCCGATACCAAATCGGTGTAATGTACGCACTTTCATACATGTCCGTACTGATTAACAGCCCGACCTATCGGCCGACAAAAAACTGTTAGTCTGCCGCTAGGCTAAGTACCAACTGCCTACCTCCATAATGCCTACAAATGATTAATGTACTTATTAATATTTATCAGTCTGTGACCTATTCACGATAATGTGAAGATCCGTTTCTAGAAAAGACTTCCCAAATTAGTATTGACGACAAAATATTTGTATACTATCTTATCAAATACAAATGGGCACTGATAAGCCAATATTTAGGTAGTATTGGCCACTTTAGAGAACAATGTACAGATGACATAATGATAAGAGAAGGACTATAGGGTCATTCCATCGTTTCGGGTGTTACGTTCGTACACACATATTCAACAATTTCATGTATTTTGAAATAGTATTTTAATAATGTTAGTGCCTTAATCTGTCCGTTTTTAGTTGTTTTATCTTAATAATAAAGTTTGTACAGCTTGGAAAGTAGGATAACGAAAATATGAGTCGAAAAGTGTGCGTTTCGGGCGTTACGAGATTTTGCCTCTATGTTCTGACTGTTGCTGCATTTACTCGAAATTTAGCGAATTTTCTTAAGGAATCATACCTAAAACTTACAGGACTTCTAAAGTATGACATTTACAAACCATGTAACATACAATCACTGTTACATAAAACGTTTTACTATTTTTTTATAATTTTTTTCTTTGTTTCGGGTGTTACAATGGTTCTGTTTCGGGTGTTACGAGTACGAAAATGCAACTAGTTTTATCGATAAAATCGGTGTTTTATTAGTCTCTAGGTACTACAAAATAAGGAGTACAACAAATAAACACAAATAGAGCGAATTCTGGTTTGAAATTATGAAGCAGCTTTTTTTAAAAAATATACAAAGTTCAAGTTTAATTTTTCCTCAGAATATAGCTTTTTCTATTGTTTTTGGCTTGAAATAGCATTACTTTAATTTCTGATTACGATATTTATTGAAAATGTCAAACATCGACACTTTTTAGCAATACCTTAATTTAAGTGTTAAGTCGACATTTCAAAAAAGTCTTAAATTGAGAAATATGACTCCTTTTCCGATGCCAGCGCTAGTGGGAGGTCAAAGGACCCTCACAGTAATACTTTTTCGCTTCTCCAAGCAATATACACACATTATCGAGATATAAATAAAAATGTAATACCCGAAACGTTTCGGGTGTTACAGTTTTTAATCAAGAAAGAAACATACTAAATTAGTATCATGCTCAGATATTAGTTACTATTTGAAATCATTACTACCATGACCTTACTTTTACCAAATATTGTTACCCTAATCCATGTGTAAGGTACAATAATAAAACAAATACCTGTTTTTCTGTTTCGGGTGTTACATCGCCGAAGTAACAAGAAAGCACACTTAAAACTTGATGATTATCCATTTTTTTGGGACTATGACGCTATCTACCAATACTATGATAAATACCCTCGAATCATATAGTGGCAAAACGTTTCACAGATTGATAGTTTTTTTTTAATCGTATTACCAATAATTAGAGAGAAAATGATCATTCAGACAGTTGACTTAAGTATAGACTTTGAAGACTAATAACTTAAAAATTATTTGTTTCTTTCAGTTTTTTTTTGTTGCACATTATAATTTGGAATGTTTACTTTCAAAATTCATCAGATTTAATGCGAAAAGAACATATTTAGTTTTTCACCCTCGGTAACATTTGTCATGGAATGACCCTATACTTTTATGTAGCAAAATCGTCCTTATTGCAACTAGATAAGGTAGATAACATTTTTTGCATGCCAAAATATACATTCATTGTCTGCCCTCTATCTGAAGGTTGTCATAAGAAAGATCGCTTTCGGCGATAAGACCGCCAAATTGTACTGCACTAATTGTTTTGACTGTTGACTAGTTGAGTAGTTTAAAATAAATTCCTATTTTCTTGATAGTTTTCTCTCACCAAAGAGAAAAAATAATAACAATTAAATTGCTTTAAGGAAAAAAGTTTTAGATAAATGTAAATAAAGACCCATTTATTTTTCAATTTCTTCCAAGAGCATTACAAAACAGGTTAAAAATATGTCATCAGCAGTCAATCACTATTTCAAACAAAAAACATTTAAAAACTTGAGGAAAACGTACAACATAAATATCACAGTATGACCATTCTATCTAAAAACAGTGTTCGGACAACATTTGAAAACAAAATTCCTGTTGTTACCATAGGGGTTACTTAAACGGACATGAGGCACCTTATAAAGTTGTTATAAGTGCTACTTTGCAATAAAAATGTAGTCCGATGTGCTGTCGAATGATATTAACCAGATAACCGAGAGATATTAATAATATATTTCAGAAGCTAACAATAAACAGCATTACCTCACACATCAGTACATCGGTTCATTTCCTACAATAAACTTGACCTTTGATAAATAAAAACAAGTTCAATCTTTGACGTCTGACAGTGGTTATAGCCAGTTGAAGCTGTTTACCATACAGTTGTACAGTTCTTACACCCGTCTTCACAAACGATGCTTGCTTAAGTGAAGCACCAAATCGAACGCACAGCGTTGAAAGTAGCTCTGTGATGGGTTCGTGTATCACCCTGTGCGTCGTCGCGCACTGTGAGACCTCATAGTACCTAATGTTTGTGAATACGGGCGTTAGTTTAGGCTTAAATGATAGTTTACACAAGAAATAACGGATTATCCTCTTTTAAATAACATGTAGGTAAATAAATAAATTCTTAGCCACGATTATACACGCGTGACCGTATGCAACGGTCGAAAACAACATTATCAGTACATACAAACGACGGCACATTAAACTAAACAATAGCATCTTATCTAGTTACAATAGGGTCGAATTTACAATGCGTATACAGATAAACTGCCGACTGTGCTTGTATAACAAGGAAAACGCTCCAACTCATGCAATTCTGTGAATGAGTGAGTCATAGTTCACCAAAACATTTCTCTTGAAATTCCGTCGCGCATTCAGTCGGCTTTCGGTTTAAAAATAACACCCTCAGTGTCCGCTACCCTACATTGTTAGCCCCTTATTCATGAAATCTAAAAGTAACTAATAACTAGCTATGGGCATTTTCCCGTAAAAAATTTTGAATTTGAAAAAAAGCAATAAAACATTTAATTACAACTTTTTAACGGACTTCCTCAAAGAGGTTGGTATGTTTTATGTGTATAAATAATAAATAGCAATTAATATTGACTTGGTATTATCCTCATACTCGTCAATATTTACACTTTTAACTTGATACCACGGTTCTGACAGTTGGAATAAAATTATTTAAATTAAGGAATGAGACGAAATTTTAGAGCAGCAATATAGTTTCTATTACTTAATAGGTATTACACTTAATTGTGTAACAAAAAGATGCAATAAATGAATATTGAAAATATATTACAAAACTGCACTAGGTATACGATCTAGGTAGAAATCTCTAGAAATTCTAGACTAATTACGAAAATTCTCTCACAGGACGCAGACCGAAGAACAGGGATATTATATTTTGAGACTTCAAAGTCCTGGAAGTGAGCCAGCAAAGTTTATTAACAAGAGTAAGGTCAAAGAAAGGGAAAAAATTGTGAATCGTCAAACAAAAGACAATAGAAAATGTTGATACTTTTCAAGGTGGCTCGACAAGGTCTCTCAAGGATAGAAAATTGATAATCTGCGATTACTTGTAATAGCTGAATGCTTGGGTTTGAATAAAAAAAAGCTTTAAATCATTTGAATTTAAAGCACAAATACAGCAACTTGATCTTTCGTTTGTTCGTGTCAGCCGAAAGACGTCCACTGCTGGACAAAGGCCTCCCCCAAGGATATTCACAAAGACCGCTCCGGCGCGACCCTCACCAGATCATCAGTCCACCTAGTTGGAGGCCTGCCCACGCTACGTCTTCCGGCTCGTGGTCGCCACTCAAGAACTTTCATTGAGGTCAAATAGAACCTTAAATCCTTTTCAAGAGTGATTTCTAAGCATAGCTCAGCATAAAAGGCTAAATAAATAAAAACGTGACCCAATATAAGGATAAACGGTGGCCCCATCTAAGGTGAACTACTTTACTCGCTAAACGGGATTATCAGAGGTCAAGTTCTTGGTCAATATCACGTCTATTTTATCATACAGTTGAATAACATTAGTATTTTGAACTTCATAGTTAATTATAACTCATTTTACACATTTTTACATGAGTTTAGCTCTAACAGACATACTTAACCTTGAGGTAAATACAAATCGTACAGATGCCTAGACCAAACAAAACCACAGATTAATGTATTTACTTGAATAAATGTATAATGATTTTATACTAATAAAAGAAGCGCTGTTTTTGAGGATGAATGGATGTTTCCTTTATCCAAAATCAATAGCATAGAATGACTTTTTACCAAAATTTACTTGGACTAAGAGAGGTAAAGAAAATAGCAAGAACGAAAATATAGAGACAGTTAAAAAATAGCCTTCATTAATTTTACGAGTAGGATTCACTCGTAAGTTAACTGCCAATAAAAGTAAAACTTCTTCAAAATGTTTCTCTCCATTTCTAGATCAAAACATCTACAGAAAAGGAGAAAAACCGAATATCAGTTGAGATAACAACCCACTTGGCAACAAAGAAGTGGGTCGCGTAAAAAATTGCAATACAATCTGTGCCGTGACCCAGAAACGGGTACAGAGGTACAAAAAGTGTAATACTTTCAGTTCGAACGTGTTAAATATGAGTAAAACTGTGGGCTAAATTATGTATGAGTGGGCTTACTATGAACTTTCTTTTTTATGTTGTTTGGTGGGAAAAAAAAATTTTTTTTAGATGCAGAGATATTGATTTCAAATGAAAATCACTAATTTTTATGTGAAACTTAGCTTTGAAGACTAGAGGATTGTTTTAATAATAAAAGTAGATTAATAAATGATAACAAAATTGATTGTCAGAAATTATGATAAATTGAAATGAAAAATCTCCAAGAAAATGAAGAATATCAAATGCTATGGCAAATACCTATGTTATTGCATATAATCTGTTTTGATTCAATCGGCTATAAAAGTTGTTTCGCAAACGTAAGCCAAAACAAACTGATTAGGATAATGTCACGTTCAAAACATTGTGTCTTATCTGTTTTGTTCTCTTAAAACCGATCAATACATCTGTAGAAACATGCTAAGCAGTACCTATAAATGACAAACAGAACCAGTTTTATAATAGTTTTTAATGAATATGATCATTACAAAGTCATGGTCATGGATTTATTTCGTAATAATTACACTAAAATTGGTTTATGAAATATATTGATTTGTAATAAGACAAAAACAATACAGTATACAGTCGTGAGTCATTCAGCCACAATTTCACGATAAGTAGGAAAAACAACTATGAATGTGTTATTTTACAAACACACCTGCGTGTTTTGCGATTACAAAAACAACCAAACCGACATACTGCATCGTACGATGCAAAATGACCTCTACAAGAGACGCTGTAAAGGTCAAAACCCCGTGTCAATAACCATTGCAATGAAAATTCGCTATCAACTGCATAGTGCTGCGTCTCGCGTGGTTTTTGAGTAAATACGCACGTGTTAGTTTCTGGCGCGAAATGTGTGCGAAATAATCGCTACAAAGTTGTAATTATAGCTTCGCCAGACAGGTCGATCACCAGTCTGCGTCTCTGAGCGCAGGCGTCAAGAAACCAGCTGTCAAAGAGCAGTGACCTACAATACGAACCACGCCATCACATCATGACCCTAACCTAAAACGATGCACTAAAAACCTATTTAGGTCACACTAGAAACACTAAACACTATCCTTATGTATAGAAATCAACATATTACTCACGGGTCGGGCGGGAAATCCCAGCAATTCAAGCGAAAGTGCACATCGACGCCGCGGGCACATCGCGATTTCGTCATCTTTTTCACGTTCCACACAGTTCACAACACTCGTTTATTGATTCCACGCACATAATTAACTCATCTAATGCACATTTCATAAATGAAAACAAACTTTCAACACGCGAAATACGCGTTTTGGACACATGACTCGACAAAAACATTGCACTGGATAACACCACATTTTTAAAAGGATACACTTGAAGCCTCTGGCCCATATCCTGGATGAGGTTTGCGGCCTGCTGCCGGTAGGCAAGTTCCTTATCTGCATCTAAACCGCATTTTCTGCTTGGTGAATTCTGTAGCTGATCTTTTGTAAAATACCATTTTTCTTGTCCACCAGCCATTGAACGGATGTTGCAATGACTGCGCGGGGAAAAGCACGACGGAGAGCAGCGCCCCGTCTACGTGCGTGAGTGGGAAAGGGACAGCGCTATGACAGCGGCGACCGGATACGGACCACGTTAACATTTGAGAAATTTACAAATTAAAATCGTAACATTTTGAATAGAATCCACTAAAACTGTTCACTAATTAATAAAATAAAAAAATATAAGTTTTTTGAACAAATCACAAAGGCTTGAAAGCAAAGAAAAAAAGTCGTCACTACGCGTAATGATAGTAGGTATTTTCAGACGGACGCCATTGTAAAATTTGATGGTGAACGTAGTGAGCTCTCCGGTGACAGAATGACGATCTGCAACAAACACAGGTACGTTTCACTTTACCACTATGTTTAATAATGAACTATTGTTAATGCTCTTTCTTTTGTACATATTTTTGCAATGATTCATGCACTTTAAACATCATTATTGAGACTTTAAAATTACGGACCTTAAAAACTCTGTGACACCGTGCAAATGGCCGACCCACCACTGTTTACAATACACTGTTCTATTTCTTTCATCGAAAATTGTTAATTTATCACATAAAAGTGTTTGAATAATGGCATAATTAGTTAATGATTTTTAAAAACTTGTTGATGTGATTAGTAAAGTGTTTGGAATCGTAAAAAATGGTAATAGAAAAATAAGAAATATGTTTGACTGTGAGGTGAGGTGGTGGATTGATTTGCGCGGCTACGTGGTTTTTCCGCGATAAAAAAAATAGGAAAATAATTTTCATTGTAATTGCGCTATGTAAATTCATGCAAGTTTTCTTTTTTTGCAGTCTAAAGTTACTTTTTCACTGTAGTTTTTTTGCATATTTCAGCCAAGTTTTCAAAGTTTTTGAGTAAAATATGTTTCGCTTCAAAAGTGAAAATTATTCTTATTTAAATGCACATAATATTAGAATATCTGAACGTGAGTTAACCATATTGTTAGTTGTAGTTATGCATACATTATCTAAAATTTTATATTATTAAAAATAACATTTTAGATAATATTTAGATTTACCTTATTTATTTAGTAAAAACTCTTCTTATAAATAAGTAAGTACCTACCTACTTATTTATTTATTTATCTCTCTTATTAAATGAAATTGCAAATAATTCCAAATCAATTTTAAAAAAGAAAAAATGTTTTTAGATGACTAGTTTTAGGGGTCTAGTTGTAAGAACCACTCTGGTAGAAAATGCCTCAAGGCATTAAGTTTGACACCTTGTGTACATTTGATGGCATTAAAGATAATGACGAAAAGTGTTTTTAAAATCCTTTTTCCAGAAAATAAATTACTTTTATTACTTTTTTGATTAAATAAATAAATATAGGTACCCCTACAAATATAACTTTCATAGTACTTTTATAATTTACATAACGAAACATCTCTCAATTCCATTTAACCAACCATCAATGTCTCAACCGCCACGAAGTGTTTTTAATGCGCTATATTGCAGAAAATAGTTGACTTTTATGACTTTATTTGATTGAAATAAATAAATCACTAAAAAAACAGTTTCATACTACATACTTTTAAACTAATTTACTTAACGAAAAATCTCTCAATTCCAGTTAACCAAGCATCAATGTCTCAACCGCCGCGAAAGCACTTGGCCCGGGTGAGGATGCTAAGCCGGCCAGGCCGGGCAGCCCCCGGGCTCCGGATTACGCACGTGAAGTCAATAAAGCCCCCGGACCCGGAGGCTTCGAAGAAGCAGGAGGAGGAGAGGCTTAGGGCTCAGGTGAGTAACGCAAAAATCCTCATGAGCCAAAACAATAGGGATGATGACTGGGTAATGAAATCGAAATTCTATTTAGTCCGTCAGACAGATGTGAAAAATTTTTGGAGACATATTATTTTTTTCATAATCGAATAATTACAGTTGAAATGTCGCGTGACGTCACTTGAGTAGATATCTACTCAAGCGTGACGTAACGCGCCATTTCAACTCGAAGTATAGCCTGACCAGGAACATAAAAACCCTCGCCATGTTGCGGAAATCTAATGGTACTAATTTCTTTTAATGGCAACAATAACTAAAAACTTCATTGACATGTCACCTTGCATGTCAGTCTATTGCTGTCAAAGTGTAAACAAACTTTATTTTAAATGTGCGCAATTGATTTTGTGAATGAAATTGCTAAAATCTTTTTATAGTCGTGAAAGAAAAGTGGTTCACAATGTGTTAAAGTATTTGTCGAAGAGAAATACCAATTGTTCGGACAATATTTTCATTGAATAATGTTTCCAACAAAGGTTGTCAAATTGACTGACATGTTTATCGTTTAGTACAGTCCACTATGAAAATTTGATGTGGTTTGTTTCAACTACCTATTTTAAAGTTTTTTGTCACTTTCTAAGTGTTGAATTTTATGGAATTGGGAAAGAAGTACCGAGTTTGAAGCGTTCATGAGCAGACATTGCAGTTGAATATTCAAGTTCTGAATTTGATTATTGATGAATAATAAAATAAATCCTACTAGCTCGATTGATGGTTTCATTTAATTTATTTAAACCAGGTTACCTATAATAATATGTTTTCGTTAATTTATGAAAATATTAAATTAGCCCGTAATCCTGAATCCTGATACATAAAGTTAGCCTATTAATTTAACACAGGTACGACTGTACTCAGTGTTGCACTATCAAATGCAATTGATGCGCCTCTATGCCAGGGTTTTTATGTTCCTGGTCAGGCTATAGCACTGTTATTATTAAATTATGGAAGAAAATAAAAAATATGAGTCTAATATTTTCTAATTATCTGTCTGACGGACAAATAATTGAAATTTTGTCATCTAGCCTATTGAAATATGCGCCTGCTTTTTTTGAAGTCGGTTAGGCGCAGACCACCGACTTTTAGTTGGCCGATAGTTGGGTCGGGCACATTACACCGATTTGGTATCGGCCGATTCTTCATACAAATTAGAATCGGGCCCAACTATCGGCCAACTAAAAATCGGTGGTCTGCGCCTAGTCATAACTACTTAAAATTTATCATTATTCTTTTGTTTAAATAATAAAACAGCTCATAAATCAAAAAAGGTTTAACGTACTTACATTTAGAGTAGGCGCACACCGTGGATTTTTAGTTGGCCGATAGTTGTGCCCGATTTTAAATTGTATGAAGAATCGGCCAAATCGAATCGGCGTAGTGTGCGCACTCCCATACATGCCCATACTGATCAACTGCCCGACTAAACTATCGGCCGACGAAAAATCAACGGTGTGCGCCTACTCTTAAAAAATAACACGAGCATCCTAAAACTTTTTGTTAAACCATAAACCTATTTCAATTAAATGCCTTAACAATACCATTCAAAGGTAAATAAACGTGGTATTAAATAATGAAAAGATTAAAAACTCTTTTGCGTGTCTCTTTCTTGTAAAGCGAAAGTGTGAAAGAGATAACGATAGTTATTATTGAATAGAAATGAAGGTACTCGCGTGGTATTTTTTAAGCAGGTAATAAAATTAGTTTGCAGATTTTATTATAGGTGTAATTATGTCGTTACAAATATTTAAATAATAACTCGAAAGTGATTTTATTGAGACACTTTTTAGAAATATCTAGAAAAGTATAGGTGAGAGCTGTTTAGTACCTATTTTCTATATTAATCTATCTACTTATTCTTAATACTCATTTTATTTTAGCAACTAGGCTTTTAAAAAGCACACGTCCCAGTATTAACCCTACCACTGCTTCGGGACAATAAATGGGCCAGTCCTCAGTGGCGAGAAGAAGCACTTCTAAAACTTAAATAAAAAAAATCTACGTATTTAACATGCAAACGTCAGGAGACTTCTTCTGTGAGGAGAGTGGGTTCACCACAATAGTCGTAGAAAAATCCACGATAGCCGAACGGTGAAGGGGTCGGACTGGCCGACTCGTGATCCGGGGAACGCGGGTTCGGTCCCCGCCGCCGCTCGACTATTGTGGTGAGCTCACTCGTGACACAAGCATATTTAGCTTAGTACGAGGGGCTAACCAGACTATTAGTAATTTGTGTAATAACGAATTACTTACTAATCCCAACTATATAATATTATAAATGCGAAAGTAACTCTGTCTGTCTGTCTGTCTGTCTGTCTGTCTGTTACGCTTTCCCGCTTAAACCTCGCAACCGATTTTGATGAAATTTGGCATAGAGATAGTTTGAGTCCCGGGAAAGAACATAGGATAGTTTTTATCCCGGTTTTTGAAACAGGGACGCGCGCGATAAAGTTTTTCTGTGACAGACAAAATTCCACGCGGGCGAAGCCGCGGGCGGAAAGCTAGTAAATTAATAATCTTAAAAAAAAAATCCTGCGGCGTTCTTGGGATCTGGTGCCGACCTTTTTTTTGACATCTTCACCGTTATTCGGTTAGTCGGCCGTTTCGTGTAGTGGTTCGAAACAGACTACATACTATTCCGGAGGTTGCGGGTTCGATTCCCGCACAGTACAAACATTTGTGTGCATGAACATATTTGTTTGTATTGGACTGGGTGTTTTCTATGTATAATATGTATGTATTTACAAAAAAAAGTATTTAAGTATGTTTATATCCGTTATCTAGTACCCATAGAATAGTACAAGCTTTGCTTAGTTTGGGACTAGAAGCGCAGTGTAAAATGTCCAAGGATATTTATTTATTGCTGCTTCACTATTCGTAGAATAATGATCTGATGATGTTTGTTTTTTCTCTACCCACAGCTCCAAAAAGAAATAGTCTCCCGCTCTCGCCAATGCGCGTACAAAGACTACGAGTGTCTGCTACCAGTCATGTCGGGCCGGCATTACTGCGGTAGACATATCCTGAAGGACCCTACAGCGCCTTACAAGCAGTGCGTTCACACCTTCGGGAACGGAGAGCGGTGTTCTCAACCAGCGCCCGATAATAAGGACCATAGGGAGAGGGATTTAGGGTGAGTTTTGAAAAGCAGCTTAATAGGGTGTATCTAGTTTCTGAGCCTGGAGGGACTATCTGGCCCAAGAGGGGTAGTATGGCCCGCCCAGGAAGAGTAATCTTC